ATAAGATTATTGGAATTGGGTGGCCATAAAAAACCATGTGGATTTGTCGAGACGACCACCCTTGATGAAGGTAAAATACGTTTCATTGAACATTCAATATAATATTTTAAAAAATAAAAAATAATAAAGTACTATAAAGGAATAAACAATTATGAAAATATGACATAATTTATTTTAAAAATACATAACCGCACAAACCCACCACAGGACAATACAAGACAGTAAAATCAACAATTTAAAATTTCACACACTTGTGATTAAGTACGATTTGAGTTTTCTTTTAAAGATATTCATTGAGTTAAGTGATTTTATTTCAAGTGGCAGATTATTCCAGATAACAGGAGCATGATGTCTAAAAGAGAATAGTGAGTAATTTTTATTAACAGTCCATAGATGATATTTATTTCTGCTTCTTGTATTATGGTCATGAACAGTTGTATTAGAAGTGAGCATTGATGATAATGATTTATGGAGCATATTCTGCTTATGTTTAAAAAGTAATATTGAACAGTAGTAAGAGTTGAGTTGAAACACAGTGAGAACATTAAATTTAACAAATAATTCTTTAGTATGGGCTTGTCTCCAAGAAAATGAACATATACGAAGAGCTCTTTTCTGTAATAAATACAATGGTTGTAATTTTGTTGGATATGTGTTCACCCACACTACATTACAATAAGATAAATAAGGCAAGACTAAGGTATTATACAAAGTAATAAGAATACGTTGAGGGAAGAAATTACATGAAGAAATTACATGAAGTATATTATCGAAAGGAAATATATGATGGCACTATGGTGCACTTTTGTCATAGAGTAGAAATACCACTGCAATGCTCTATGAATCACAATACAGGCATTAGGTATGTATACTCTTTGAAGCTGATGGCCGAATGTGGTAATCATCAGTCAAGTCATGTACCGTAGTCCAAAGAAGGAAAGCGGATCGTGCGGTGATTTCCGCAGGCCCGGCCATCTCCAAGTTTGTATTCAGAAGCATGCCTGTGGGAATAACAGGATGACTGAATGAATGATGCAAGATGGATCACTGAATTCCAAACTGACTGTTGATAAGGAAAACTACTTTCTCCATTTTTTTTTTTGGGGGGGGGGGGGGGGAAGTTCCAGTAAATATATTCCTCTTATTTTGAGTGGTGTATGAATAGAATTTATATACCTCACTTAAGAAATCCAGCCATCTGATTGGTCGAATTGCATTCATAAACTTCAACTGTTCCTGTAAAATTCCCGGTAACCATGCATAAAACATTTCAATATTTTTAATAACCATGGTTATTAAAAAAATAGGTCAGTCTCCATGGTTACCCCATAGGTTTACATGTTAAAAAATGGTTTGAGCGATGGAGGATACCATACGTGTGCGAAAAATTGGTCGGCAATTTCAATACAATTGAATCTCGATCGATCTTACCGACAATTTTATCTTGCATTGTTGACATGAAGACGAAAATTAACTCTCAAAAACAAAAAACAACATCTGCCGATAGATCTTGATCTAAGTTCGTGCCAATATGCATTGCAAAAGTAAAAGAAGGGTCCGTTTCATGGAGCTTTTGCGAAGCATCCCTCACGCAGAGCCGTTTTCAATCCATTTTAATGTATATATTGGAGAAAACTGCCATGCATGTTAACGACGCGTGATAGCCGAGTGGTCTAAGCGTTGGTTTTCGATACATCTCTTGTTGTACGCAAGAGTTCGAATCCCGTCTTCGACAAAAATGAAAATTATTTTTTATTTTTTATTTTTTAGTCTATTTTTTTTCGGCATATAAAAGTATTAATGACTGCTTTAATATTCGAGAAATAGTTGTTTTATTACGCTCTCGGGAAGGTTACAATTGGGCTATTCCCCTCGGCAAGCCTCGGGGAATAGCACAATTCTAACCTTCCCTTGAGCGTAATAAAACAACTATTTATCTCAAAGCAGTCATTAATACTATATTATAAACTTATTTGAATTTAGATATTCAGCTTTCATATAGTTAGCATATTCTTTTATTTTTTCCTGGTACCGTGTTTATGAATCTGAAATTGTAGCAACCACAATCTGTCTGTCACATAAACAATTATTTGTTTACATTTACCGAGTCCCATGATGATTGATTTTTAAAATAATTTATGACCTTGATTACATGTACCTCATCACTGCTGTCAAGGGTACTTTCCATTTGTAAAATATGGTAGCAGGGCACCATTCTGTACACCTTCAGTAACACCCTGGTGTTCGGTGTACAATCTCGAGTAGATGTGAACGTGTATCTTCAACAACCAGAAGTATTCATAACCAAATCAGATAACCAGAAGTATTCATAACCAAATCAGATAACCAGAAGTATTCATAACTAAATCAGATAACCAGAAGTATTCATAACTAAATCAGATAACCAGAAGTATTCATAACCAAACCAGATAACCAGAAGTATTCATAACCAAATCAGATAACCAGTCATGCTCAAAAACAAGTTAATTTGATATTGCGGGAGCGGCTAACTAGCAATATTGAACTTAACTTCACATTTCAGGATTAATACTAAAAGTAGATCTATAAAAATCTTTATTCTCGATTTTTAAATGGCTTGTTTTTTTAAGGCTGAGATCATGTTATTGAAGAGGACACACCTTAAGCTTTTGCCATTGAAAAGTGCAGTTAACTTTAACTTTTGAGGAAGTAACTCTTTCATCATTAACATGTTAGTTTCAGTCAAGAAGACATTTTAAAGCAATGTCATGGTCTTGTACATTTCCCTGGCAGCAGCTATTGTTGAATTCATGTCAAGTATCACTTTACACAAAGAAGTGTCAGACTGCCTTTGTTTCTTCCAACCATGTAATTCAACTCCACCCAGCCAAGTGTGTAATGCCCTGTTCCATGCTATCAACCTTTATCAGCTCATATTCCATACTTCTAATTATGCCAAACTCCAAAATAGATTGGTGTAATGATGAGACGGTGGGTCTTTGTCTAGTCCAAGTAAAGACTTCTCATCTCACACATGATCTTCATTGTGTCACTTCAAGGTGGATCATATTGCAATTAGTGAGGTGCTTTGCCTTTTTATTTCTCATCTTCTTTCTGGGGACAGAGAGTAGAACATGTCATGGTATCTGATGGTTTCTTGTTGACTTGAGCATACTGTGCTGACAGATTGACGGTAGGAAGGGATTTGTTGTCTAGAGGCTGGTAGTGTTGATGACTATGATGAATATTTGTTACTCATATTATTCGTTTTCAGAGAGTTACAATGTGTATTTGTACATTGATTGATTAATCTCATTAATTCATTAGTATCTTGGTTTTACATAAATTCAATTAATATACTTATTAGGGAAAAAATGTCAGAACACTATATTAGCACTGACTTCTCTCCTCGGAAGAGGCTCAACATTTATGATATTGGGTCTTTTGATTTCAACATTCAAATTATGAATATTCACAATGTATGAACCAAATTACATGAAATTGAAAAAGGAAAATAAGATCAATTTTCTGGCTCTCTGCAGATGATATATTCCTAAATGTTAATTTATGTATTAAGCCAGTGATACAATTGGAAACAGACCATTAATAGTTAAGTTAGAATGACCATACATACATGTATATAACTGCTTCTATAGAGCATACTGCACCTATTCGATCGCTCATATTCTCTGCAGATGAGTGCCGTAATAGCAATCATTCGTGGTTCTGATCTACCAGGCTCCTCTTTTGATCCCTATAATACTTCTCGTCTTGGATGGCTAAACAGTGACCTGAAAACCCTAGAATCTTCCATACAGCACTCTCTCCTAGCATCTTCTATACAGCACTCTCTCCATTTAACAAGCAGCTCTATTTTTCATTTAGGCTGAGATAGGATTTTGAACTGCTGTGTAAATTATACGTTTGGAAATGTTTGTCGCTCTTTATTGATGTGAGGAGTTTAATACATGAATTTTGATAAGGTTTTCAAAATAACTCAGCAGTAATACATTAATGATCTAGTGCAACATCAAACTGAATTATCATTTGATAATGTTTTGTTATAAAAAAAATTAAAAAGCATCCGCAAACACCCTCAATAAGAAGAATTAGATCTGTAGATTTGATAAGCTGTATATTAATTGGTTAATTTCATCAATTAAAATTCCACATTCGTCCTGAAACAAATGAATTTGCCATTCCCATTAAAGTACATATTGCAAGATACATGTAAGTGGATTTCTCAGTAGTTGATGAAATGATGCAGCAAGGGCATATTTTCATTTTGGGCCATGAAATTTCCAATACACTGCATTGAGAAATGGAATGGAATTCATCATTTCTAAAATCCTTATCCTTATACTTTATATATTACTTTAAAAAATATCTTTCTCTGTTTTTTATTCGTGTGTAGAATCTTATTTGCCTAATGGTCTCTAGTTTAGCCCTGCTTTCAACAATTCTACTGTGCATTAAAAACCTTCATGCAGGTCTAAACATTTCTATTGTTTAAAATAAAGATTGTATGTACCATGTTATTCCATGATAATGTTCCATGCACTCGGAGTATCATTATTTCTGAGAAACATTGCACAGAAGCAGGGAGTTTAGATCAGAAAATCTTTGTCCTTGATATTATTGCAGTAGCCTGTGCTTTCTCTACATTATATAATGCTGTTCTATCATTTTTTAGGGGACAGAGTATATAATTTTTGTAGTGGATAATATATATTTGAAGTGATCAGTTGGCTAAAAGGGTTTTGATCTGAGTGAAGATTGAACAGAATATGGCCAAGAAAAGTTATTCAGTAATAATTTATGTATATAGATTACTCATGATAAAACCCATCCAATGCCTGTCTTCTAAACCTGTAGAATTTTTCTTGGAATTGTTCTTTGCAGAAGTATTGACATTTTGGATCTGTATGTGTACAGTGTATGCTTGTTGATTTTTGTAATCTGACTACCTGTATTCAGATTTAATATAATATTAACTAGATTTCTGTTTTCTCTCTTTACAGAGTGAAATCATCACAATATTCATCAAATAAACAGCTTAGGAGGTGAAGATGTTTTACAAGATCATTTTGAGTTGTGTCGCCCTCTTTGGTGCTGCTGTACACGCAGGTGAGTAATAATCTAATTCTCCAGCGATCTAATAATCCTTGGAACTCTCAACCAAATGGTATTACTGAGAGAGCATATAACTATCAACTAAAATCGGTGATGATTTTAAGAGGATGTTTAGCTAGTCATATTAAAGAACATGATACTATCCAGACTTGCTTCATGAAAGTTAGACAAGTAATGGATTGAATGTATGTATACTTTCATTTTCTTTAACCAATAAATGTGTACTTTGTCTTAAAGGGATCCGGTAACTTTGTCTCAGATTCTGAAACAAAATCCTGGATTTAGCTCATGCTGCAATTATAAACCTTTTATTGTCAGTCAGGAACCCCATGACTTTTATGGCCCGGTCCCACTGCACTTACGGATGCAAAGAGGATGTAAAACGTAAACAAAATCTTGCCATCCGTTGGAAAACGCTATGCATCCGTTGTGTACTCATTGCATACGTGTTTCATACGCTCTATCCATCGGGCATCCGTCCACTGTAATTTCATCCGCGCAAAAAGTTTTGAGCTGCACAAAACTTTTAGAACGGATGAACTTTCCGCCGTGTACGATGTAAATCCGCGACAAATACGTGCAAAAAACGTTCTATGTCCGTTATCATCCGTTCAACGTCCGCTGTATCCTCTCTGCATCCTCGCAACTCACATCCGCTGCAGCTGTAAACGGAAAGAGGGAGTAAAGATAAGGTACGTGGAACGTCTATACATCGTTAGTAGCACGGAAATAGAAAGGATGTAAGCGTATGCATCTCGTATAGAAAGTATTCAAAACGGACAAAGCGTTTGTATCTGGGATGTATCTCGTATATTTAGGATGTCTAGAGTATGTAGAAGGACACCTAGCGGACAACCGATATTTTGTATGAAAAGGGGGAGAAAATCATCTGGATCTTGGTATGAGTCGAGCAGCCGTGGTGTACAGACCTCATCACCCTTGGTCTTGGTCTTCAACATCATCATCAATTGTTCTCCACCATGGATGATCAAAGATTCCATATGATAGCTGCACTCATTCAACAGCAGAACCACAACCTGTTCAGACTGTATCAAACAAAAAAATGCAAAGTTTTAACCATTTTTTCAAAGTTTTTACCAACACTTTATTGAGTAAACAAAAAAATGCAAAGTTTTAACCATTTTTTCAAAGTTTTTACCAACACTTTATTAAGTAAACAAAACATTTGTATAAGTAAACAATGCTGCTCACAAGTGTTCACAACAAGTGTTTCAAAGTTTTTACCAACACTTTATTAAGTAAACAAAAAGGTATGCAAAGTTTTAGCAATTTTTTCAAAGTTTTTATCAACACTTTACAAAGTAAAAAACATTTTTATAAGTAAACAATGCTGCTCACAACAAGTGTTTCAAAGTTTTTACCAACACTTTATTAAGTAAAAAAATAAAAAAATGCAAAGCTTTAGCCAATTTTTCTAAATGTTTACCAACACTTTATTAAGTAAACAAAACATTTGTATAAGTAAACAATGCTGCTCACAAGTGTTCACAACAAGTGTTTCAAAGTTTTTACCAACACTTTATTAAGTAAACAAAAAGGTATGCAAACTTTTAGCCATTTTTTCAAAGTTTTTATCAACACTTTACAAAGTAAAAAACAATTTTATAAGTAAACAATGCTGCTCACAACAAGTGTTTCAAAGTTTTTACCAACACTTTATTAAGTCAACAAAAAAATGCAAAGTTTTAGCCAATTTTTCAAAGTTTTTGCCAACACTTTATTAAGTAAACAAAACATTTTTATAAGTAAACAATGCTGCTCACAAGTGTTCACAACAAGTGTTCACAATCACAACTCGGTCTCTCAAACTATTCTGAGTCACTCTGAGTCATGTCCATGGTCTCAGCTGTGAGGCGTAAGGCAGTGACTGTGGCTGTGCTTGGCCTCGAGGGTACAGCAGGTGGTGGTGTGGTCAGGAGTGGCTCTAGGGTGGAGGAAGGGTTGGGATGAGTGTGCTGGGGCTGTCTGGTCTGCAGCTGGGTGAGGAGTGGCGTCTGTGGCGTCCGATGAACATGGGCCTGGACTGGAAAGTTCTGCTTCTGCTGTGGGAAGTCGTGGTAGTCGTAGCCTTGGTAGGTGAGGGGCTGTTGAAAGCCGTGGAAGGGCTGTGACGTCGCCTGGGGTAGAGGAGCAGACCTGTACTGGGTAGGACAAACTTCAGCTGGGCCTTGAGGGTTGTGGAAAAGTGCTGTGATCTTCTGCTTCATCACCTGGTACTCGGCCTCGGGCAGGTCCCTCAGGGTCTGGCTCACGTAGGTGATGAAGGGCTTCCGGGCCGAGGATGCTCTGTCCAAGTCGACCAGCTGAGAGAGAAGTTCTGTGCTGGTCTTCATTGTGTCCCTGATCTCCAACAGCACACTGTCGTCCTGTCCCTCCAGTCTATCTCTCTGCCTGCGTCCTCTGGATCTGGTGGTGGAGGTGGAGGTGGGTTGGCCTCTGGTGGCTGCCGCTTGTTCCTCCATTTGTGACAGCACGGCGTCATCCTCCACGGGATCCTCCAAGTTCGGCACCATGGGGAGTTCAGCTGTCGAGGGCTCCTGGCTTGAAGATGCCTGGCTGTCTGAGGGCTGTCTGAGGGAAAGGGGTCTCAGAGGGGCTGCTCCTCGGTGGCGGATCTCACCCTCCAGGAAACTGCACTTGGCCATGACGTACTTCTCCCGGTCAGTGAGCTTGACGGCGGCCTGCCCGGATTTCTTGAGGTGTAGCTTCCCATACCAGGAGTGCATGTGCTTCCACCATCCAAGGAGTACTTCTGCAGTGTACCCCAGGCTCTCTGCCTTGTCTCTCCAAGCTGCCTGCTTCTTCTTGGTATCCCGATACAGTCTGTGGCCCTTTCTCCAGAGGTACTCGTTCTCCCTCAGCCATTCCAGCACATCGTCCTCATGCTCCTCGGAAACGGTGTACTGTTTCCTCTCTCCCTTCTTCTTCTCTAATTGCCTCTTCCTCCCTCTGGCTGGAGCTTGTTCAGTGCCTTCAGGGGCTTCAGCAGGGCCTTCATGTGCTTGAACAACAGGGCCTTCAGGGGCTTGGACATCAGGGCCTTCTGGGGCTTGAACATCAGGGCCTTGAGCAGCAGGGCTTTGGAGGGGCTTGAGGGCCTTGGGGCTGGTCCACCACAGCAGCAGCAGCTTCACCATCAGAGTCAGTGTCAGGGGGTAGGGTGCTGGTTCTGGCCTTCTTCACCTTGCCAGGGCTTGAACGAGTAGGCACGGACTTCCTTTTCTTGCCTGACTGACGCACCATGGTGTTGATACAAGAGGTAGTATAGAGATGTATCAATGTAGCCTTCTTCAATAACGAGATGTAGTAGAGATGTATCAATGTAGCCGCCAGCACGTCTTTCCGCTTTATGCTGACTGCGTGTATGTGTGTGACCATGGACGTAAATCTGTAATTGAAACCTATTGTTCAGGGGGATGATCTATTCATTCATCCCCCCTGAACAATAGGTATTACGTAAGGATTGAGGCCCATGTGTGTAATTGGGTTTTTACGGACGTGTATCAATCAGATATGATTATTTGCGTCTGGGGACCGACCTTTTGTGCGTGCTGCATCCCTTTATATCCACAGAGCGGACGCAATTCATACTCCCCGCATGCGCAGTGAACGGTTTGCATCCTATATACATCCGCTCGGCATCCCCTTTGTTTCCGTTAGGCGTACGTGATGCATCTGCTTTATCCGCTATGCATCCGCTCTTTCCGCTATGCGTCCGCTTCGTAATTATCTCCGGTAACCCCTTCGGAGCTGTCATCCACTTCCATCCGCTTTCATCCGCTAGGCTTCCGATGAACATTCGTTTAACATCCCCGCTACATACTACCCACGTCCGTTCTTTTCCGTTCTGTTTTCGCAAATTTTCGCAAATTTTGTCCATTTCTGGAGCGGATGAAAACGGATGGAGCCTCCCCTGAAATTTTGCTCGTCCGCTGTGTCCGTTATGCATACGTTTTGTGTCCATCGGCCAGTGGGACCGGGCCTTTACAAGCCGATCGCCTGTCTGATTATCAAGATGTTTGTGATTGGAATTACAAATTTAAAAAACCGTTTTCATAACACTACAGTCTATTCGGGAAAACGACTATGGTAAAACCGGTCACTCAAAGATTTTTACTTTTTTGAGGCACTTCTTGATAATTTTGAAGCGCAATTTTTTTAGGGCTTCAATATAACACCATATCACAGACACTGATAACAAGTAGGGCCGTGCATCTCCGTGCATCTCCTTTAATGAAGGACAGTTTTAACATTCTACTAATTGAGGTTGAACAACAACTACAAATAATTTGTGAATTTTTATTTTCCTCTAGAAACTGGACCAATCCTTACGCAGCAGCCAGAGGAAACCATCTTTGATACAGCAACCAATGTTGATTCAGTCTCCCTCCATTGTCGTGCTACCGGTGATGCACCAATCACCTACACGTGGGAGAAGGATGGTGCTCCACTCTCTCAGGCAACTAACGCTCGACTGGTCATCACACCTGGGCAACTGACCATCACTAGCCCAGAGAGAACAGTAGACGGCGGGGAGTATGTGTGCATGGCCACCAATCAGGTGGGGTCAGTGAGAAGTCTGCCAGCAGAGCTCGTCTTTGCCTGTAAGTGGTCTTGAAGATAGGAGTTAAAGACTTGGAACTTGTTTTTGTAGAATGAATACTGCCATGCGTAGTCTGCTTTTAGCCAGAAAGGCAGTGACTCTTAACATATTACCATGAGTTAGTTGCTTTTTATTCTTGTTGTGCTCAACAGACGACTTGTATATGATTGCCTCTTAAAGGTACTATGTCCCTTTTGCAGCCAACCTCAAATTCTGTAGAACTTTGCAGGAATTATGAATATGTCATGTATGTCCTATCTGTGAAATTTAAATGTTGGCAGTGTCCTCATATTCAAATTATGCAAGGAAACCCGTTTACTTGCTAGACTTCACTTTCAGACATGAGTGACTGACTGGCTTTTTTTTCTTCTTTGGTAATAACATACATGAAAAGAGTTGTAAAGGGTACATGAGCATTTGTCTACATCAATAACCCACTTCTTGTGATGGCCAAGATTAAACTGATTGAATCTTTGCGCAGCATAAAACGTATGACCATTCGGTACAATATTGTCTGAAAATCAAGACTATTACTTTGGGGCTCTATAGCCCTAAAGTCGATTTGACAACTAATAGTGGTTATTTTCCCACTTGAAGACATTTTCAGGTCCCGCCTTTTTTAGGGAAGTTCTAAATTAGTATTATCTTTCAAATGCAGTTGGAATTTAACTTTTTCTTTTTTTTGGGCCTGCAAATGGGACATAGTACCTTTAATGTTATAAAGATTTAGCAAAGTATTAAGAATTCTGATTATTGACTGTTAGATATGATCTATTTACTACCAGGTACTTCTCTCTCTCTCTTTCTCTCTCCTTTTCTCTCTCTTTTTCTCTCTCTCTTTCTCTCTCTCTTTCTCTGATTGGGTTTGGCATATGTTTTAGGTTTGATCCATGACCACCAGAGCTTCAATTTATTAATTTGTGTGTACACATACAATGATATGGTTAAATTTTGCTTCCGTTTTAAGAGTCTGCTGCCTCAATAGATATGTGATTATATAACATAAGATATGTGTTTATCATTTGTTGTTGTTTTTGTTGTTGTTGCAGATGTTGATTCATTTGACCCAAGTGCTACATCAACTCAGTCACTGACTGCAGGTCAGGGGGGCTGTGTAACCTGTAACCCGCCTCCACATTTTCCAGGTCAGTCTTAACACACCACCATGTCCATCTTCTCTCTCCCCTCTCACTCTCTCTCTCTCTCTCTCTCTCTCTCTTTCAATATCCTCTCCAACTCTCTCTCGTCCCCTCTTCAACCAACTCTCTCTCTCTCTCTCTCTTCCCTTGTCCAACTCTCTGTCTCTCTGTCTCTCTTTCTCTCTCTTTCCCTCTTCAACTCTATCTCTCTCTCTCTCTCCCTCTCTCTCTCTCTCTTCCCCTCTCCAACTCTCTTTCTCTCTCTTGTCCCCTCTCCAACTCTCTCTTTTCTCTCTCTCTCTCTCTCTCTCTCTCTCTCTCTCTCTCTCTCTCTCTCACTCCCTTTCTTTCTCTGCTCCATTCTATATCCTTCTCTTTTATTTTTTCTTTCCCTCCCCTCTTCTTTTCTCTTCCAATTACCTTTATGTTCTCCTTCCATCCCTTCCCTACACTCTCTTTTTCTCTCTCTTTCTCTTTAAAGACTTCTTTTTCACCCTCTTTTGACCGATTGCTTTGCAGTGTCATCTTAAAATCAAAATCGTAATAATAATTGTTGATTTATGTAAGAAAATACAAATGCTTTTTATGAATTCATGAGGGTATCATAAAATGTCTGATGATACATAAAGCTTTACTTTTTATTTTTATCCTACGCAAACCACAATATTTCATTTTATTTTACAAAGCTATATAATATGGAATCATTTCAGTCATGTCTTTTCAAAATCTACAGGGCAATGAGTGTAAAAATATGAAGCTTTTTGTTGTGGCTAGGCAGTGTTAAATGAAGCATTTTAATCCAAACTCAACAGCAAATGTGTGATAATTTGCAAATGGCATTGAAGTGTAATAACTTGAATATACATGTAGAAAATACAATTTGTAAAGTTTTGAAAACCTAAAAGGTTACCGGTATTTATCCGTATTTGAGAAAAAACTTCTTGAATGTTGCTGTGCCAAAGGACTTCATTTCATGCAATTCATCAAGTAGAAAATAATTAGGACACACCAATACATTTTCAATGAATTGAGTGAATGTTAAGGTGCATATAAATATTATGTACCTTAGCTTTGCAAGAGTTGATATGAAGGTTTACCTTTGAGAAACATAGTATATTGTACTTCATAGGAACAATGTTCTTGATGATAATGCAGCATCAGAATATTCCCTCAATTATCTAATATTATTTTATCTTGGCAAATGCTATGCTCTGGCATTATATATCCAGAGTTGCCTCTTATCAAACTTGTCTACCCTCAGAAAATCTTATTCTTAGCTTTATTTATTTATAAATTATTTTGTTTTATTTCATTTTGTAATCACCGTTTGCTGCGCTTGTATTTTCTTGGATCTCCACCGAAATGTTGATTGATCAAACGTTGCCGTGAGCAGACGGTTTGTACCCATCCTGACCATTGTCTATAGTGTATCCCATGATGCAATGTGTATCACATGACTAGTCAACTAACCATACAGTTTGATAGTTAGTGTTAGAGTTTGTTTGTTGCGTTGCTACTTTGTCTCTTTAACACTCCACTTCTATTTACTCGCAGAGGACAGACCAGCTGATAAATGTGTTCAGAGATACTAGGATGTCAACGTTATTTTGTCATACAACTGATATAAAGTTGAAAATTGATGTATCGGTTTTCTGTTCTGAAAGAAAATACATTTGAAATGGCTGAAATAATGACTGGTACAAGAACTCAATTTTTTCAATCTTTGGAAAGGAGTTGGTCCATAATTTTGTACAGCAATCAGATTTATATCGAGAGCTAGTTAACTTCAAGGATTTTATATGGTTATGTGATATCAATCAAGCAACCAAGCAGATCTGAAGCTTTTTTTAATTCCAAAGTCACATTAAAAATGGTTCAAATTCAATCAGTTTGTGACCTCAAGGGAAAATATTTCAGCTTATAGATTACAAAAATGTCCTTGTAGAATATATTACTTGCCGACCACACAATATACCCTGCAGTTTGTGCCGGTATCAATTTTGAGTGATAGAAAAATGATGTCCTTATTTCTGAACACATTTATCAGTGTGTGATGCAAGTGACACTATCAGTAAGTCCTTCTTCATGTTATACCATGTGAGAATCAGGAAGGCGTTAGATCTCTTCGGACCTCATGTGCAATCCTGTTTGATCATGGAAATCCATCTCATCTAATCCTCATCCAATCCAACATTTCTAGGAGTTCACCATTCACCTGACAAGCATTTTCAATAAGTAGGAAACGGATTGTATGGAATCCAAGTATTTGGAAACATGAGGGTGAAAAAATAGGGTTTGCAATGAAACAGAGCATGTTTTCTCCTTGTGACCCCCCCCCCCCCCTTCCTCATGCACCACTTACTAGAGGAGATGGCCTTGTTTTATTAGGCCCATATTAATTTACTATTTTAAAATACCAAATTTCTTACAATCTATCCTACATAGTGAAGATGCGAGTCTAATGGACTGACAAATTATGAATCGGTACTCTTTTAGTGCATACCACTTTCCTACGCCGATCATGAATATTCATATAGTCTAAGCTTGTTCAAATTATCCCCCCAAAATGTTCTGTGCATAAATCATCTTAGCATATTGACAGAAACATGGCTTGTTGTATCTTGTATACATAACATATGCAGGAGAAGGCATGCATTGCATAGTAAAAACCACCATCTTGCATAGTTATGTAATCGTGCAATACTCTTTCAAGGGCATGATTGCGATGACACAAGTTTCATGACATATGCATCTTCCTGTATATACTTCATACTGTATTTATATCGATATGAATGCTCCATTATCAATTAAAATCATATTCATTATTGGATATCAAAGTTATCAGGTTGCCTATATAGATTCCCGTAACTCGGTGATCAAATTGTGGAACCGGTTGTGTCATGTCATCATCAATGTACAAGTATTTTCCATGTAACAAAGTCATTTCATAGCATATCTGTTTTGTAGTCATTTCATCTTATAAGAATAAATATTGTCATTTGAAATCATGAAAACTGTACCCATTTTTAATCATCTTCATATTTGTGCTGAAGTCATACATCAAACTGGAGCTATTTTTCTCTTAGTACTTTAGTAAGTCCATGGCCCATTCAAGCTAGCAGTCAAATGTATGAAATTAAAGAACCAAGTGTCGTCTGTGAAGAGCCCTAAGGGGATCAAGTTACTGGTTAATAATACCAAAGTAGTCTGAAAATAGAAGTTGTATAGTATACAAATATATACTGCCTTGAGAGGTTCTGGTTAAAACTATGGGCCCAATGTGACTGCAATAGTGCTATTGCAGTCACTGAGGGACCATAGTTTTAATCAAGAGACTCAAATAAAGGCAGTATATATTTGTTTTATATACTTCATTCATATATTCATCATTCATTGATTGGTTAAAAGATTTTGCTGTAAAAATCAAAGAATTCAAACGTACCCACTAGCTGTGGCCATTCCTATTACCTTGTCATTTCCTGCGTGCACAGTCCAAAATTAATACTAGTTCCATAAAGTTTGCAGCGATCACTCATAGGATTTCAACAGCATGTCGTATTCTCATACTCAATGTTAAATTTTAATATACCAGTACTTTAAAACTTTACGCACTGTGACACGAGTACTGTGTTCATTTTTTGCTAGCCGTAAATTGTACTTTTAGTTTCAAGAGGTACTATTTACGGCTTGGGAGCCGTATATAGTACCTTTGACAAAATAGTGTGTTTATTTGTGATCATGTGACACACTTTTAACCAATCAATGAACAAGAATATATGAATGAAGTATGTAATAACCCGTAACATTGAATTGCTGAGCAGCAACAAGCTTACCCTGACATTCTTTTTGCGCTGTAGACTTCTTACCATGCTTGTGGTAGCATCAGAAATTTCCCTTATGTTTACATCCATCCAGTCTGTACATATGGCTTTTGATTATAATTGTAAAATTATATTTGCTTTGAGGTGTTCAAGTTGAAGAAATTACTTATTGCTTTTAATGCTGTATGATCTAGGTATAAATATCAAAAAGGATGTGGTTGCTGTTTAGATGAACTGCAAATATCCAGATATATGTTTGAAAACTTGTGCTTTCAAGGAAAAAAAAATGTTGCCCAGTCTTAGATGTGTTGTAGATTTTTTTTTTCAAAGAGAGAAATTAGTCTCATGTCTGTCAAAGTATATAAATTCACAACAAATCCTTTTGTTCATTCCTTATAGTCAAAATAGACATTTTAGTATTCAAACTGTTACAAAAAATACCAGTCAAACCTGAAAGCTTCCTTTTTGTGTACAAAAGAGTACAATTTAAGTATGTTTATTTGTGTGGTGTAGTTCATAGGTTAAGACCTGATTAATGTACTATTGATCCTGTTAAAGAAATTTATGATCAATATAATCTATAGGATAGATAACACACGTAAGATTTTGTTCATTGCTCTGTAATTCCTTTTTTTTTGGGGGGGGGGGTATAGACAGATTTTATCTTGCATTCGTCTTTTCTTTTTTTCTCTTTTCTTTTTAACTTCAGCTTCAATTTTAATGTTTTGTTCACATTTCTGTTTAGTTATGTTATTATTTTGTGTTACATTTATTTTCATCTTATATGTATTTCATTCTGTTCTTTCGGGTAGGGGGGGGGGGAGGAGAGAGGGGAAATGAAGGACTGTTGTGTTTATGAGCCTTTTGGTTTTATATTTGATTCATTGGTTTTAAATTCATATTCCTTTCTAAACCATTTGTTGTTAATATTTGTGGATTGTTTTTGTTTATCTTCTTATCTCCTTTTTGTTCACTGGGGAGGGGGGGGGGGGGTGGTGTAATTTAAAAAAGCCATTACTCCACCAGAATTTACTTTGATGTATGTTCACAAATTTCTTAAAACTTTCAAGCATCCAGATTTTGCATTAGTATTATGTTCTTCTCATATAACTGCATTTTGTGTTTCTTGTTTTCTTCTATCTCTACCAATATTAAAACATTTATTTGATTGTTTCTTTTTTTATTTTTTTTATTTTTTTTATTATGATTTCAAATTCTTATTTGAACTATCATAAGGTATGTGAACTCTCATCTCTCAGAAATATATTGGAATCAAAATGTCCCATGAAGAAGGATTTAGTCATTAACTTACGAAGGGCTTGGCGTTGAAAGTAATCTTTCCCTTTTTCCCTTGTTTTTACTTTTCTCTATCATCTAAAAACTTGTTATTATTGACTTAAAGATTTCTTGTCAAGATGAACAGTAATCATGGGTATAAAAGGAATAAACCACATTGATATTTTTTCTCTCTTGAGTATGATTTAACACAAAGAAAGGGTGCTTGTAATGAGAAATAAACTAATTAGCTTGATATATAGAGAGCTAAAAAGATAATAAAATTATGCCTTCAACAAAATTGCTTGGATTTATAGGAAATCTTAGTTTCGCTGAATGCTGATGACATAAAACTAATTTTGGTGTGCTTCTCCCCACTTTACTTATCTATGCACTTGCATGGACTAATGAATTCACTGAATTGAATGCAATACACGAGGAACCATAGCCCTCTAGCATTTCCCTCCCTTAATTTGATTCAAGAGTATAAAAACAGAAATGTTGATTGCATTAAGATTGATGTAGAACTGTACAATAGTTGTTTTGAATGAACAATACTTGAAATGGGTTTCAATTATTATTGGTTGAATTATCTGCTAGATAGGCATGTATGTATTAATGGTGAATTGAGTGCTGTCATTATTGAAAGTCAGATGTAATATGTAATTCGATGGCTCATAGTTAAATTAGACTAAATTATTAGAGTGATATAACCTGGAGCGGGAAGTGCATGTGTTGAATAACTTCTATAGAAATGTACTTTTATGCAAAAATTATTGAGAGTTTTTGGGCTGCATTTTGTGAGATATTTCACTGGGAAGTCGGTGTGAAACTTGTCAATCCAGTTATTTGATATGTTAGTTAAAAATTAAAAAAAAAAAAAACAAACAGAATTGTTCTTATCTCTTTTTAGGCAAATTGGAAGATGTTGTAGAAAGAAAATATGTAATAATCATGGTAACAGTGGATAAGTAGTTGCTCTAAACTGTTAGGTGACAGTCTGTTTTATGTTGGTGTGTACATGGATGTATACATCTAAAGGGATGTTATGTGTAGTGATATTTTGCATATCTAATCCTAGATTTACGCTACGATGGTGCTAATTGTGCGTGCCACTCTCTCTCATCTTTCATGCAGGTATCTTGGTCAATTGGTTCCATGAGAATATGTTGGTGGACTCCAGCGATAGCCGCATCCGGGTTATGGATGACGGTCGACTCTGCTTCTTCTACGCTTTGGCAAGTGATGCAGGAGCATACAGGTGTCAGGTCAAGAGCAATGTTATCTCTGACGGAGGTGTCGAAATGAGAGTCAGTCCATTGGTCACTGTTACAGTCAATGCCGGTAATTAATAATATTAATGATAATAAGTTTACCCAGGGCAGCCGCATCAGCTTCGATGGTGTTTTTCCTGAGAGACCTGCAATTATCAGTACCCCTGCGAATGCCCCACCTGGGTGGAGAGTGGTAAATGTGGATCAATGTTGTGCCAAAGGACGGGCTTGTGCCGGGCTGAGATTTGAACCCTCAACCCTTGGATTGATAGTCAAGGGAATGAACCACTATTCTTTACATTACTGTATCAATGAATATAGCAATTTTTTTTTTCATTATTATTTTTTCTTCCATTATTCTGTTGGCTCCTTTTGGGCATCTATTACATATATCTTATATCATATATATCTTATAATATAGCGCTCAGTAAATACTGGACCTTTGCTCTGTGCAGTTGCAATCCATTTACACATCAATAAAAAAAAAAACTGTTGTGGTTTACTGCTTCGTGTCTGAACGAGCCTTTAGTCATGTTTAAAACCTGGACTATTGAAAGTAAAAACAAACTTATGATCGAATACTGGCCTTGTTCTTCAAGTGATTCCCTACATCCAGTTCCAATCAATCATTACACTCAACTCTTTGACCTTTCTTGTTGTTACAGGTTCTTCAAGTTCAGCTATCAGGATTGTTCAAGAGAACAGACCTACCGATGTGACGACCATTGCTGGAGAAGACATCAAATTTGAATGTTTCTTCTATGGCCCGTAAGTATTCCATCCACATGGAGGAAAAACAATTACTCTTCCTTTTTGTATGTATTTTTTATAAACCATTATGGAGGCAACCATACCTAGAGAAAAAAAGCAAACTATAAGTATGCTAAATATATTACTCATTGCGGATGTAATATCGAAAATAATATCGCTAGTGATATTTGTTTGTCTCGCAATGCCGGCCAGCACCAGTCGATTCTAATCAGCAGACGGGCCGAGCCAGGGGCCCGTTGATTGGTTGAGCTCGCTACTGCTTCCGCCCAGCAGGCGAGCCGAACCAGCAACCTGCTGATTGGTCGAGCACCGTGTGCATCGGCCAATAGGCCTTGTGCGTTATTGTTCCAGGGTTCGTACGGGTCATGGAAAACCTGGAAAGTCATGGAATTTTACTTTATTGCTTTTAAGGCCTTGAAAGTCATGGAAAATTATTTTTTCCATTGGAAAGTCATGGAAAGTCATGGAATATCAAAATTATGGACAACTATAGTATTTTCTCACTATACAAGTGAATAAATGGAGATATTTCAACCATTTTCTTCTCGTATTTTCTTTCATTCGTAACATACCGACTGATTGTACTTGTGAATGTGTTCACTATGATCGATGGATAAGCGCTGTGTACGTGGGTGTGTACGTGTACGATACGAACTACGTGTGTATGGTCAGTGTATGGCGGTACGGTCCACATCGTGCGCACATGGCTAGCTTGCGAGCGAGCTCGCTAGCGCTAGCTCAGTTCAGCAAGCTAGCGCACGTGTACGTGTGCAGTGTGTGTGTGCATATGATGATGGTGCCAACGCGACATGTGACACTCCAAGAACGAATGTAATGCCTCGATTGCACTTTGGCTTTGCATTAAATTGCGACCACTTAGACTACTACAATTTTTACACTTCTCCAATAAATGAGGAAAAAGTAAATTAGTAATATTTGTTTTTTAATTTTCATTATTTAAATAAAAAAGGAACAATACTGACGTGTCAACAAGGCAAATTGGCAGCGCTAGCTCGTTGACGATCTATATATCGACGCGACGGCATGTGTTTTGAAACTTTTGTGCATGTGTTGATTCTTCATGAAACGGAGTTGTTTATTTTCACAGACCTTGGAACTCGTCACGTGGATATTTTCACCATTACAAATTTTGTGGAAGTGATATTCAAAATGCCTGGAAATTGTCATTTTAAGGATGCTTGGTTAGAACACCCGGATTACCGTGGCTGGATTTTGAAAGAAAGTTCCGATCTGGGGACTGCTAGATGTGCTGTTTGTATGTGTAAATTCAGTGTCCGTAATATGGGCGAAGCAGCCGTCAAGAGCCACAAGAAGAGTGAAAAACACACAGCAAACCTCCAACAGCAACAACGTCGTAAGTGAGCATTTTTAATGTGAATTTTACCGATCCTTTAGTTTATTGAGCATGAATCCAAATAATGACTGATAATAATTATATAAAAATGAAAGATTTGAGATTATTTAGCGATGCGATGTCACCTCGCAGGCATTGGTTACTGCTTACTGCGACCAGCCCGTTCGGGAGCGTCCCCGGCCCCGGGCCGGGCCGGCTAGGTTACTGCATGCAACAGCCCGAACGCTAACCCAGGGGGCTCCGCACTCACACGCCAGTGTTGTACCGGGCACTGTATGTGGACTGCAGAAAAAAAAAATAATAATAATTTACCTTAAAATTGACCCCAAAAATCATAAAACTAAATTTTGTACTTACAATTGGGTCCAACAGTTTGCTTGCCTTGAGAAGTATTTCCTCCTTTCTATTTCTTTAAAATATGTTTTTAAGGAATGAGTCAAAAATTAGTCCACTTGTCTTAGTGACTTACATCAATTGGCCAAAAGTTGCCGTGAATTTTTTTTTTTTTTCCTTCCCCATACTGTCAAACGGTTGTCAAAATAGGAAAACGTTTATGCTTTTAATGGTCGTTTGAACGGCAGTTAAACGTTTTGACTCGGCCCTAAATCTTACCAAATGATGATATTTATATTTTATTTATTTTAATAGACATTTTTTTCTTTTCTCCTAGATTCTACTCTCTCACTCAAGAGCTTCTTCAAGGCAAAAGGTGCAGAAAGTTCATCAGTATCTATCACGTCTACAGATGCAACAACCAGTACTTGTGCGCCATCAACCTCTAAAGTGACAACTCCCATTCCTGTTGCTGCAAGAGAGGAAACTTTAAAAGCTGAAATACTCTGGTGTCTGAAAGTGGTGGAGGATCATTTATCATTTCATTCTTGCCAGCACAACAGTGAGCTCTTTCAAAGAATGTTTCCGGACTCAGCTATTGCTAAGGGTTTCACGTTGTCAGAAACAAAATGTCGGTATATGACGGTGTTTGGTTTGGGCCCATATGTGCAAGACCTCCTTTATGACAACATAAAACAATCAAACCACTATGTGATACTGTTTGATGAAAGCCTCAACAAGAAGCTCCAGAAAAAGCAGATGGACTTCCTCATAAGAACATGGCAACACAATGAAGTTTGCACTCGCTACTTGACGTCTGTGTTCATCGGACATGGTTCAGCTGTTCACCTCAAGGAAGAACTGAATAAAGTTCTGCACACAGTTGGCTTGGAAAAATTACTGCAAATATCAATGGATGGTCCCAACGTTAATTGGAAGATGTATGATGACTTTACGCGAGAGTACACTGCTGACCTGACCAAATCCATACTGAATATAGGCTCATGCGGGCTCCATATAGTTAATGGTGCTTTTCTGACAGGTGCCAAGGCTGCTGACTGGGAGGTGGAAAGCTTTCTATCATCCTTGTATTACCTGTTTTCTGATTCCCCTGCCAGAAGAGAGGATTATCAGAAGATAACTGGAGATCATACCATGCCACTTAAGTTTTGCAAGACCCGATGGCTGGAAAACCTTCCTGTTGCAGAGAGAGCAATCAGCATCTGGGAGAGTGTATGTGCGTATGTTAAAGCAGTAGAAGAGAAGAAAATCCCTCACCCAAAGAACAAGTCCTTTGAAACTGTTTCAAAATGTACTCATATAACTGATTTCTTAGCAAGACTGTACTTCTTCATATCTGTTGCAAAGCTGGTCAATCCTTTCCTAACACAGACTATCAGACTGATGCACCAATGCTGCCCTTTTTAGCTGAAGACCTTACTAGAATGCTTGCATCCCTTATGCAGCGATTTTTAAAGCTGGACAGGAGTACCATTACTTCTCCTTACAAGATAATGCAGGTAGATGTTAGCAGTGAGGCCATTCAGCTGCCCTTGGCCAAGTTGGACATTGGATTCTACACTGAGAAGAAGCTGAAAGATCTGAAGGCGAAAAATATCATCAGTGAGCTGAAAGTTCTGGAATTTCGCACTCAAGCAAAGAAGTTTCTTGCTGCAATGACCCGGAAGCTCATTGAGCGATGTCCGCTTAAGTATGCACTTGTGAGAAATATAGGATGCTTGAGTCCAAAGAACATGGCAAAAGACAAAGAAAACTCCACTGCAAAGCTGAAGAGGGTGCTTAACACCCTTAGTGATGCCCACAGACTTAAGGATTCATGTGACGATATCCTAAGAGAATACTCAGAAGCATGTGATGAGGCATCAAGAAGTGCAGAGATGAGAGACTTTGATCCAAAGAAAGAGAGATTGGACTCTGTAATGTGCAAATTTCTGTCCGAGTCTCGCTATTCGACCCTCTTAAAGTTGGTCCGCATGTTGCTTGTCTTGTCCCATGGACAAGCCTCCATTGAGAGAGGTTTCTCAATCAACAACGAAGTTGAAGAGGACAATCTCCTGGGACACTCACTGATATCATTGAGGGCCATTTATGACCATATCAAGTATGTTGGAGGAATCAAGAATGTGACTATTGACAAATCAATCATGTTGGCTGCGTCTGCAGGCAGGCAGAAATACCACATCTATCTCGATGAACAGAGGCGTAAAAAGGAAAAGGAAAAGAAAGAAGGAAAGAGAAAAGGACTGATGGATGGTTTGGAAGAACTAAAGGCCAAACAAATGAGACTGCAAGCAGATGTGAAAAGTCTTCACACCTCAGCAGACAAGTATGCTGAGGAAGCAGAGTCACAAGGAAGATTGACTTGTATTTCCAAATCAAACAGCCTCCGACGTACAGCAAAGGAGAAGGCATCCCAGTTACAAGTAATTCAGAAACAGATTGATGAACAGCTGAATGCCATTAAGAATTATTAAAGAACTTGGACAGTTTGTTACCAATGCCACCAAATATTCAGACAGGTGCAATGTGTAGAGGGATTTCTTTCAAACAGCTACATGAAGATGTCTCAAGAAAAAACTCATTCAGAAATTATTGACCAGCTTAATGCTAGCGAAACAAGAATTCATCAGCTGATGTGAGTAGGCCTACTGTGTTTTGTTGGTGAAATCAAAATTGGTGATGGTATGTGTGTGAGTTTGTGTGTTGGTGTTGTTTTGTTTTCTTTTTTTTTTGGGGGGGGGGTAGTTACCTTGTACATGCAAAGGAGAGCTATTGAAGGAATCATGGTGGTCCATGAAACCAGGAACAGGCAATTTGTATTCTTTAGAAGTGAAAATTGCCATTAAAAAATGGACAATTGTTGATATGAATACATGTATGTGTAATTGTAAGAATATTATATAGCAGTGCATATCGAATATGATGAAAAAATAACATGTAATTGTAACAGATGAAATAACTAGATAACAAAAGCTGCCTTTCTATTAGTAGACTTGAAACATGCACTTTGCTTCGCTTTGATTTGAGATCAAATTTTCAGTCTACCGTGTAAAAAAAATGTGTAAAAGTCATGGAAAGGTCATGGAATTCTGGCTAGAAAAGTCATGGAAAGTCATGGAATTAAATTTATGAGAAAGAGTATGAACCCTGTGTTCCCATTATCGCTCAAATTATTGACCGCTGCGCCGGTCCTCCCATAGAGTATAAAACACGCTTGCTTACATTAGTTTTCATCACCTGACCAAGTGTTGCAGCGGCGCACGAAACGTCGTGATCTTTTAGATCCCTTATTGACCACATTGCGAGACAAACGAATATCACTAGCGATATTATTTTCGATATAAGTATGCTTATATAAGATTGGCTTGTATGCAGCTGGTAATGAGAAGGGGTATTATACTGCCAGCAAAATCAAGGCTATCAAAATGATCAGCTCAAATCTGCTAGCTAGCTTTCAAAGATCTAAGACACAACACAATAAATACCAGTGTACCAAAATGTTGCTTAGCATTTCATCTGAGCCCAACACTGAGTTAAAATGCCAGTATTTCTGACTTAAAATTGAATTGAATACCCCCTCCCCATCCTTCTTTCTTGATCTGTGACTTTGCCAGGCAACCAACGGGTCAGATTCCCAGGGTCCAGTGGGTACGTACCTCACCTCCTGGTGCTGGGTTGCCCACCGGTAGAGCCGTGCTGGAGGAAGGGGGTGAGATCTTAAGCATTGTGGGCGTGCAGCTGGAGGATGCAGGTTCCTACCTCTGTTACATCGATGACGTCAACAGTGGAGCTTCGGCAGGACTCAATGTTGCGGGTAAGTTGACGGTTGATTTGATCTACTTTACATAACCACTACGAAAGCAAGTACATGCAGTGAAACCTGTGTATAAAGACTGCTCAAGATATACAAGAACATGGTTTTCAGAAACAGCTGGTCTTATGCCTAGTTTCCTGTAGAATGTGTTTCAGCGAGAAAATGTTTTATTAACAGGTGATCTATATATATAGATGGGTTCCAAAGCAGCTAGGTTTCACTGTATATGTCTGTAAGCAACCAGATGAATTAACCTATGACTTTAAGTCCTGTCCATAAACTTGGTTATTACAATTAATGCCTTACGAAAGGAAACTATAGCATATCATGACTTACTTAAGAGAACTATACCTTCTGGTTATAAGACCTCTGCTCTACCACTGAGTCATCAAGATATGATGGACATGGCAGTAATGCAGAGGCTGAGTTTCAGAGATGCATCAAATGCTAGTCAAATTTTTATTGTAAAAATCTAAGAAACTATTGACTGAGATTGTTAGAAGATATTTTTAAAACAAAACTATTAGCAATCCTGTAATATGAAGATATGAATGTGATATGTTATACAACATCAAGCTGTTTTAAAACAGACTTGTTATGTTATACACTGATTCGGGCGACTTCTGGTGGAAGTGCGCCCTCATAAGGTGACGCCATAACTGGGGGGCGTCTGACTGCAGCTAGCTAGCTTACATTGCATTGCAGCGCATGCAAAAGCGCAGCGCGCGAAAATATATGCAAGAAAATTAAAACAATACACATGAAATCCTTTTTGTCCAAAGAAAAACGTCAAAAAACGGTAACAAAACTCGCGAGTAACAGAGGTGCAGCGAATAGAATCGATCGCTCAACGGGTATGCTATACCTATACCCAACCTCGCCCAGGCCGGCCAGGGTCGCTGCTCCGCTAGCTAGTAACCGCTCTCGAGCTCTCTGTACTGTCAGCTGGATCGGAGAAGCCCCCCAGTTATAGCGCCGCCACCGGCGGGCAGGTACATAAAACCCCCAAACCGAATCGGTGTATACAATGTCAAGCTGTTGAAGAGGCTGTTCACACCGCAATGAGATAGCGCGGTCTATCGTAGCACCCCCTTTTTTCTAGCGTGCGCTAGACCGCGCTATCTCTCGTGGACCACCCCAAGCGGTGCTCCAGTGGCACGCCGTTTTGGCTCGCCGTGGCTCGCTGTTGGGCGGACCGAAACGACATTGTACCTTCCAAACTGCAGAGATAGCGCGGTCTAGCGCGCGCTGTCTATGCCGGTGTAAACAGCCTTTTAGACAAACTGTCAACACTTCCTAATACTGCCTTTGGTTATTCCATGATTTTTTTTCTCACCAAATAGGAGTATGATTACATACAGTTTCTTTAATTTGTTTATGTTTAATAAGCATTTTTATCATGCATTATTTTGCTTTTTTTTTTACCATGTAGAAGCGCCAGCGTGGGTCAGCGAACCAATGGATGCCATGAAAGACATCAACACCATGCAGGAATGGAACGTAGAGGCTGAGGAGGCTGACCAGTACACCTGGTATCGCAATGGAGAAATATTGACCGCTCGAGACAGACATCAGTTTCGCAACAACCTCGAAACACTCATAATAAGCGACCTTATGACGACGGATACAGCCATGTATCAGTGCTTTGCAAGCAATGATCATGGCATGATTTATTCCGCTGCACAGCTGTCCGTAAGAGGTAAGAACAACTGTAAATATTACTTGTTAGTACTTGAAGACAAAGTCTAACGGTTCTGTTTAAGTCTGTTGAAAAGGTTACAAGAGAAAGGGGGAAGGAGAGAAAGGCGCATACTTTAAATTAGAAATCAGTTTAAGCTGTACTTTTCAAATTCATCCAACATATTCTCCAGCAATCATTTTTATTTTCTTTGCTGTGTACAAAATATTGATGTGGAAATGGACAAATAGACAGAATAGAAGTAGACAGAATAAAAGTAGACAAATTTTTCCATTTCTCCTCAGAGGCTGTGATTTTTTTATGCCAAATAAATGAGAATGATCGATACATTCGCTCTTCTCATCATGCTTGTTTTGTTTTTTTGTCATTGGCTCTGTCAGCCTTCCCACCCGAGTTCCTGAGCCCAATGGAAACAGACAAGCCTGCCCCACTCACAGCTACAGTCACTGTGGTATGCGATGTGGATGCTGCCCCCGCTCCGACGGTCACATGGCAGCACGATGGTCAACCCATCACAGACGGCGCTCGCTACAACTTGACCGCTGACCCTCCTAACCTGGTCATCATAGATGTACAGATGTCCGATGGTGGAACTTACCAGTGCACTGCCACCAATTCAAATGGAACAGTGACCGGCGAGGGTAGTCTGGATATAAAAGGTCAGCTAGTGCATTGTTTGTGTATTGATATCAGGACTGTCATGTAGAAAGGTTGAGTGGACACTCATTATATGGAGTTGATGAATCAAATCAAATCAAATTTTGGAATAACTGCAGAATACCCAACAACACGGTTACCCTAACATGACCATTCAGAAGATATCTGTATTTAGAAGTACCACTTCCTCCCAGCAATCTTGCATAATTGCGTAATTGCCGGCGATAAGGCTGCAGCGCCGTATAGGCCGCACCCCCGATTTTGACATTTAAAAAAAAAAAAAAAAAAAAAAAATTGTCAAAGTCAGGATTTGATCTCTTGTGTATAAATGTTAATTTGACTAAAATCACTGCCTTAGACCACTCGGCCATCCCGCACTGATACTAGCTTATGTAGTTTTTTGTGATGTATACATTTCGCCTCTCTCTTGTGTATTGAAAAGGATTCAAAATAGCAACTTCGCGTGCTGGATGCTTCGCGGCAGCTCCGTTAAACGGGCCCTTCTTTTACTTTTGCAATTCATTGGCACGAACTTAGATCAAGATCTATCGGCAGATGTTGTTTTTGGAAGTTTATTTTCGTCTTCATGTCAACAATGCAAGATAAAATTGTCGTTTAGATGTGTGGAAATGTATAGTTATTGTACCGTTCGTAGATCTAGTCCCATATGTGCAAATTCGTGCTGTTTTTAACTTACTTTTTAAAATTTTTTTTTTACTCTTTCGTCGCATAGGCCGCACCCCGACTTTTTGATATTTTCTCTTCCAAAAATACTGCGGCCTTTACGCCGGCAAATACAGTACTATGCTTTGGATAACAATATGTGAGACGATATAAATAATTTTATGCAAATCCAAATGTATACAGCTAAAAATTCAAATCCAATCTAACCCAATCTAATCTATCTTCCACTTGATTTCTTTGATAGATGCGACAGTGATCACGGGGCATCCTGATAACACCTTGGTAGAGGTTGGGCAGTCTACCACCCTAAAATGTAAAGCTGCTCATGATGAATACTTGGAGTTAACCTACCTATGGGAGCACAATGGAGTAGAAATCGACCTCAGTGAAATCGAGAGATACAGAATGGTAAGACTGCGTACTAAGCATATTTCACTTGCATAATGATAATAGATCCATTTATATAGCACAGCTTCTATATGAATATACTCTACTGCGCTTAATTCAAGGTATGATATAATTACTCCGGTTGCAGCTGAGCCGCCATTATAAGGCGCTAAAGCATTCAAGGATTTTCTTTCTACCGGATACCCATTTACTTCACCTGGGTGGAGAGTGGCAAATGTAAACTGATTTCTTGCCAAATGGCATTAGTTTCGCAGCGGCACTCGCACCACAAACCACGTAATCCACAGTCTTGTGACGTATCCACTAATGTGATATAATGAAATTACATTGAACAGCTTGTTGTTCGCCGACGGAATAAGAGAATTATTGTGTGATGTGTAATGTTTCATTATCAGAGTTCTTAAAGGTAATACAAAGTTTTTGGATGGGGTCCTGAATTTGGTTCAAATGAACATATTGGAAGCATATGCGATCCTACAATATTCAGGGATCGTTGTTGCGGTTGAATTATCGAGTCTAAAGTTATGAAATTGTAAATAATAAACTCTTTATGTTATATAGCTCCCTCTCAAGGTCAAGATATTAATTAAGCTATAAAACAATGTTTCTTGACTAAAACCGACCTATTAGCTATTCCCGTTTGGAAATTATATATCACAACTACATATTCTGAGATTTTCATGGTCACAGCTATCATTGTACAACTGTAGGCGCTATTTGAAATTTATCAAAATTTACCGGGAGCACCAGTAAATTTTTATATTCAATTTTTCTTGAAAGGAGAAGTGTTTTAGAGGCTGATTTTTCTTGTGTTTATAATACATCTACAGGGGCATCCAAATATATCAAAATTGTAAAGAATCACTTTCCACCCAATTTTCAAATTTCCCAAAACTTTGTATTACCTTTAATGAACAAGATCGATTTGTTGAATTTATGGGGACTTTTGTCAGACTTAGGGCATACAAGATAGATCAGTGGGTTAGTATCCAATACATCGATGCTTATTTTCAGTGTTTGTATGAAATGCCTTCCTGCAAGGTTTAGCATTACATCTGACAGAGTCATGCAAATTAAACTCACCACTCTCTCTTTCTCTCTCTCTCTCTATATATATATATATACATATATATACTCTTGTTCTTTTCTTACACCCATGGGGTCATTAATTAATATATCTCCAATTACATTTTGAATGGTATTGAATACAAGATTTGGATCTACAATTTTTTTCTTTACCTCTTTCTACTTCTGAAATATATTTTATTTCTCTGTTACCTATTTTCTTCTTCAAATTTTTATGTGGCCCGATAATTTTCCTCCTTCTCTTCCTTAATAGTCTGAGAGAGACAATGGCAACTTGGAGATCGTCTCAGCTCAGTTACGGGACGGTGGTGAATACACCTGCGTCGCTCTGACTGTGGCTGATTCAGACCGCTCTAGTGCTACGTTAGACATTGCAGGTCAGTGTGTACCCCAGATTCCATTCATTCTCTTCACCACCGTTCATCAAAGTATCCAGTAAACTTGTGTCAGGGCCCTGTGTCATGAACATTAATATCAATAACAAGTTGCAATAGCTGTTATAAGTTACTGAAGTCGTGGTATTTGATTGGCTGAGAACTAATTTTTTATGGAAATTTAGCATTTGTTATTGATTACAAGTTTTATGAAACAGGGCCAAGAATTGAATACATTAAAGCAGAACTCCAACCAAACAATGATAAAGAGATTTTGTAAGTGTAAATACGCTCTCAATTTGACACGTTAGCGACTTGTGAGTAAACTAGTCTCGCACAGGTACGCCCTTTAATCGAGTATTGCCTGCACGTAACCAAGTCCAACTTAAATTCTCTGCACATGGTCTAATGTTGTCCATCATTTTCTTCAGACCTAACTATTAGCCAATATATTGCAAGGTACCCCACTCTCATTCCCACTCTCCACACATTATTTTGTAGGGTGATTGGTGCACTTTCAGTTTCCTTGAAGACGAAAGCAGATGAAAACACTCTGTCTCCTTATAGACTTTTGTTTTTAAAATGTTAAGTTTTTTTCTTAATAACTCAAAAATTGTTCTGGTGTAGTAGAGCCTCTTTTTTATGCCTCCGCCACCGAAGGTGGTGCCGGAGGCATCATGTTTTCGGGTTGTCCGTTCGTACGTCCGTACGTCCGTCCCGTTTGACCGTTATCACAATATCTCAAGAACCATTTAAGATTTAAACTTAAGACTCGGGAATAGTATTTATCACCATAGGAAGACGATCTGATTAGATTTTGGAGTACGTAGGTCAAAGGTCACAGGTCACAGAGGTCAACTTATGAAATTCCTTGTATTGAGTTTGTTAGCGCGATATCTCAAGAACCATTTGAGATTTAAACTTCAAACTTAAGGATATTATGTATCACCATAGGAAGACGATCTGATTAGATTTTGGAGCACGTATGTCAAAGGTCAAGGGTCACAGAGGTCAACTTATGAAATTCCATACATTGAGATTGTTATCATGATATCTCAAGAACCACTGGAGATTTAAACTTCAAACTTAGTGATAGTGTGTATCACTATAGGAAAACAATCTGATTACATTTTGGAGCACGTAGGTCAAAGGTCAAGGGTCATAGAGGTCGACTTATGAAATTCCATACATTGAGATTGTTATCATGATATCTCAAGAACCACTGGAGATGTAAAAACTTCAAACTTAAGGATAGTATGTATCACCATAGGAAGACGATCTGATTAGATTTTGGAGCACGTAGGTCAAAGGTCAAGGGTCACAGAGGTCAACTTATGAAATTCCATACATTGAGATTGTTATCATAATATCTCAAGAATCACTGGAGATTTAAACTTCAAACTTAATGATAGTGTGTATCACCATAGGAAGACAATCTGATTAGATTTTGGAGCACGTAGGTCAAAGGTCAAGGGTCACAGAGGTCAACTTATGAATTTCCATACATTGAGATCGTTATCGCGATATCTCAAGAACCACTGGAGAATTTTCACTTCAAACTTAATGATAGTATGTATCACCATATCATAATATCTCAAGAACCACTGGAGATTTAAACTTCAAACTTAATGATAGTGTGTATCACCATAGGAAGACAATCTGATTAGATTTTGGAGCACGTAGGTCAAAGGTCAAGGGTCACAGAGGTCAACTTATGAAATTCCATACATTGAGATTGTTATCATGATATCTCAAGAACCACTGGAGATTTAAACTCCAAACTTGTTTAAATTGCTCTATGGCGGAGGCATCATTTTCGACTGCGCGCAGTCAAAATTCCATCTAGTTTTAAAATGGGTCTCTTTTAAAATCTTGTAATACTAAGTTGGCTAATCACCAATTAGATAGAGTATCTAGCTCTTGTGATCCACTGTCATATTTAAATATAGAGGTCAAATTATTAATAACTGCTAGAACAACAGATGACAATTGACACAACAAAGAGTTTATGCAATTAGTGACAGTCTCTTTCCACAAAAATAGTCTTACTTTACATGAAAGTTTCTTGTTTTAAAGTACACGTATATCAATCCATCGTAGACTTCAATAGAACTAGCTGTTGTTCTTCATCACATTTTATCATGATACCTGTTGGTTCTCCTCCTTGTAGGACCCCCTGGACCCCCGTCCGGTCTCTCGGTGGAGGTTGAGAACCTGGCTGCCAACCTGCGCTGGGTCCCAGGCACAGACAACAACAGCCCCATCACATCCTTTACCATCGAAGGACAAACGGATCATAGCGACGAATGGGTCGAACTCCGCTCAGGTCAGTATATCACAGTCATTGTACTCCCTTGTGTTGTTGGCATAACTACGTACTAACTCATTTGCATATTTATGCAATATTCCAACCATCTTTTAGAAGAATAATCAATAATGTGTATAAATTGTTACCAATGGCTGAATAGAACATATTAATGCTCTATTAATTTGCTTATTGCATTAACAACATAATGCTTTTCCTGTGAGAGGCGACTGTGACATTTCACTTTACCGCTAATTTCTTTCCTGCATACTTTAACTAAAAAGAATTCTTTCATCATGCTCAAATATAATGTTCAACTGCAAATAGTAATCCATATATTGTGTGAAATAAAAAGCTTTGTTGTAACACAAGTGCACTATAGGTAATTGTAGTACTTTCTATTCCTTTATATCTTACCCAATTATCCGTCAACTACTTTCCTCTTTTATATGAATATTTTCAACATTCATATACAGGAGTTGTACTCTAACAAATTTAATCATAATATTTCATAATACATATATACTTTAACATCGACTATCATATTATGCAAATGCTCAGACTACTAACTATACTTAATTTTTAATTAACTGTTATTTTATATGTCATTTAAAAAAAGAGGTAAAGTATAGGGATAGAAGAGAAAAAGAGACCACAGTAATGATAATATATTGATACATCATTCTTTGTATCTAATCCCTAACACATTTGCATTGTACAGGCGTTTCAGTCCTCTCTGACTTTGGTGAGAATAAATTATCTCTCGTTTCTTAAGGTCTATTTTTTGCCTCTTTTTTTTCTCCGAAAAAACATTCTTTTACATATCATAGAGCTTGGATTGCGTTTGTAGTTTGCTTTTTTTTTCTTGACGTCCTTTTTCCCCCTTTGAAATAGTACACGCATATCTTGTATTGTAACTTTATCCTACATGACTATGTTCTGGTAGAAATTAGATAAACAACTGAGTTAATTTGTTGAAATTTATGTGGAAAGGAAACAACTGCAGTTTTTCACCAAATTTTGAAGAGCATGGTGCTAAAAAATGCATCATGACACAAATAAGGTACCTTTTAAAAAAAACCAATTTAGCCTTCAAGGGATGTCACTTTTTTAATGTGGTAATGGTATAGTTAGTCCACAAAAGCTCTTTATATTTCATGGAGTAACTCTGTACAGAAAAATTAACTCACCACTTTAATTTTCAGAAACTTTTCTAATATGATATGTCACATTCTTTCAATTTGTTATGTACAATTTTGTTTGATGGCATAAACATCAGTGTTAATGTATAAACTAGTTTTATAGAGAAGTTGTAAAATTTCTATCTCTTTGCTGTCTTATTTCATTTCAATGCATTATGTTTGGTAGTGATTTTGTTTACTCCTATTATATCTGCTTCCCCCTCAGATGTTTTATCAGTATTATATCTCTTTTTCCCCGTACATATCACAGCTTTAAGTCCCATTCTCTGTACCTATGATTCTGACATCCGTTATGTATTTCATGGTTTTGTAGCTTGATGGAAGCTCAAAGGCAATTGTTGAATTCTGGCAAAAAAATTCTTAGAGAGAAATTATCTCAAGTTTATTATGAACTTCTGATCATCCAGTACAAAAGTTTTTTCACTAAGAGGAGAACACTCTGTGCTTGTATATGAAACTCAGGTCATTCTATTCATGCTCACACACAAATTTATTGAAATGCAGTATCACTTTCTGTGTTCTAGTATATTTTGTGTGTTTCTTTTTGAGAAAAGGACTACAAAATTGTTACAGTTCTGTCTACTTTAATCCTTTTTCTTCTTCAATTTACTATCCTTTTTTTTAAATTTTTTAAACTTATATGCATTGTAACGTTTCTTTGTTTTTAATTGATTTTAGTCTGTATGCAAAATTCCCCCTCTGTTTCTTTGCTCTAAATGTTGAAAGCCTCATCCATTCACCCATTCCTATATTATATTGTATCTAAATCAGGAAGAATTGTTTTTTTTTTATTTATTAGCTATTTGCTTACATTAACTACAAAGCAGCTGTTTGTGATTATCATTTCCTTGATTAATAGGTAATAGACAGAACTGTGAAATATTATTCCTGGTAGTTCTTCCCAAAAGATCTCTGTTAAACTTGATAGAGCATGGTTTTTCAATCTTTTTTTCTTGGAATTTGCAGTGATGAAATGTTTTATTGTTTTTTTTTTCACACATGACCTCAATTAAATGCTACTCTCACATTAAGTTTAGAATTAGGTTGAGTTACAAAGAAATATTACACTAGTAAAAACCAGTCAAGCCCTGTATTCTCAGAAGAGTGCATGAGCTTACCAAAGTCAAGCAACCCTTAAATATATTCCACAGTAAACCACCCAAAAAATTTGCAATGCAAGCGGTGTCTTTTCCATTTCAATGTTTTTGTTTTTGTATTGAGAATCAAGAATAATAAAAAGAGAAGTGGCATTTAATTTGAGAGGATACATGAATGATGGGTATGACTCATTGACGTAGAGCAGCTATCAATCTTTTGCCACTATTTATTTGTAAGTCACTGTTAGCTTCATTCAATCATTCTATCATGAACATGGATTCACTATGTGAAAATGTGTCATTTGAATATCAAAATCTCTTTGTATCCTTGACATAATTGACCTTTATATATTCAAAAGTATCAGAGGGAAAGATTTGTAAGAGAATGGTCCTTATATCATATCTATGTGTCATTTATTTTAAAATGTGCCCCAACTCCTCAAATAGAACACCCTAAAGTATCCATCTGTAAAAACCGACACTGCTTGTATTAGTTTTATTAAAGGGATACGGTAGACTCCTCGCTTAAGTGCATGTAAAAAATATCTGAATCAGTATACAATTAATTCCACTTGTCCAAGCAGATACAGAAATTTGAACTTTCCCAAACTGTTGAATGCACTTCAATGGAATTTGATGGATCAAATAATTGTTCTTGCTATAAAATGGTAATGCCATTTCTGAACTCTTGACAAATTTATATCAAATTAAGATTTATGTCCCATTTATGTACATAAGCTAAGTCTTTTGAACTATATAAGTTTCTCCTTAAATGGGGAATTGTTTGGAAAACAGCTAATCCTGCTCATATTTTTTCTATAATGTAACGTATGGCCTATCTGCCAAACACATTAAAGTTTTTTTGCTTCTCAAATGTATTTTAATGCATATTATTTCAAATTCAATTATAAAGGTGATATCATTATTATTTATTTGTGTTTTTGTTCATTTTTCAGGTGAAAGCGCTGGATCTAACTCTGTTCGTCTGGTAAACTTGGATCCGTTCAGTCTTTATTCCTTCAGAGTCATTGCTGTCAATAGGATTGGTCGGGGAACACCCAGCGAACCTGTAGAGGCCGATGTCAAAACTGGCAAAACAGGTAAGATTCATACAGGATACGATACATACATAAATAGTTTGCTTGAAGGAGGTATTACCAGACTCTATCAAGCCTTTGTAAGTCCAAGATGTAGTGCTTCCTCGAAAACCAGGCCGTCAAATTTTCTTTATTAGCTTAAAGCCTGTCTGCACTAGTTTGGCCAGGGGAATTAGACCTCCCTGCAAGGTCACTGACAGGTGGTTATCTCATCAAGTCAGCTCTCACTTAACATAATCAAAGAAGGATCATGGGGACCAACAGGCACCAATTAGGCATTGTTTGATATATAGAGGGCGCAAGTAGCTATAAGTAGTGCAGTGGGGCTTTAAATGGAACTACCTTCCAGAAGAAAACTTGATAGATAATCAGTCAATATTTTCTTCTATTGATATCATGTTTTTATCTTGATTAATGTCTCACACATAACAAAGAGCACCTGAATATTGAAGAACTCTTTTGAAGAACAAAAATCATTTTACTTTACATTGGGGCTTGGCCAGGATAAAGCAGCGGGTAGGTATACTAAAATGCATAATTTATGGGTACTCATCCTTAGCACTTGTATCATGTCATATAGGATACTAGCAGTCAACAAGACAATATAGAATTAACTCAAGTCTCTTACTTAAGAAACAGTGTTTAATTTGTATACCATTCAGTGGATACCGTAAATCTCCGTGTATAAGGCGCACCTGTGTATAAGGCGCACCCCTATTTTTTTTTGGGGGGGGGGAAATAGTTTTTTGTTTTGTTGTTGTTGTTGTTTTGTTGCCAAAAACCCACGCGGGGAAGGACCTTCATTTTACATCGAGGTGCTGTTGAAGTTGTGAACTTGTCACAATTAATAGCAACAACAGTCTAAGGCTTCATGATACCAAGTGTCCCACACCAGCCTCCTCACATCACCTAGCAGAAGCAGTGTGTTCTATGCCAAACATCAATAGTCATGCATGATCTATTAGAAAGATTACTTTCAAACCAAGATGACAGACAAATTTGAGTGTTGTTGTAGTTTCCAAGTGGTTAGTCAACACACTGATTACTGAGCTAGGAGACATTGCCAGACATAGCGCCATAAATCGAAACTAAAAAAAAAAAAAAAAAAAAAAAAACTTTTTTTTTCTGTACCTGTGTATAAGATGCACCCCCGACTTTCAAATTTTTTCGGCGGCAAAAAAGTGCGCCTTATACACGGAGATTTACGGGGGTAAGTTGTTTCTTATTTGAAGATCAATGAATTAAATTTTCCAATTTGTATTATGAGTGTTAACTTTTATCTTATGATCCTTGACGTTTAGCTCCTACTGCATCACCATCGAATGTTGGAGGTGGTGGCGGCAATACTGGAGATCTTAGAATCACATGGGATGTAAGTACCTGTTCATGTTATAATAATAACAATACAATCAAGTTAAATCCTCAAGATAAACAAATGCATAAGTTATGCTCATTGACATACATTTGTTATATGTTGTTAGCCAGGCATATGGGCTATTGTTTTATTTAAAAATTGACATTTTGGCATTTTGAAGCCTGCTAATGATACAAATAATGGATAAAAGTTTCATTTTGGATTCTAGCGTGATTCTAAGTTGTGGCTTTCAGATGCTGATGTTAAAGATCCATTCCTAGACCAGGCCTGATAATTACCTGATTATTACCTGATTTAAATCGGTTTCCTGATTTTTCCTTATTTTCCCTATTTTTCCCCAATTTTCTTACTCGAAAGGAGGAGAATGTTGTTAGATGCCATTTTTTTTTTCCCCAATTTTTTTTTTTTTTTTTTTTTTACTCAAAGGGGGCGGGGGTTAAGAAAGATCACTATCACCCCTGCTCTAGACATAGATAATCAGATTTTGGCCCTTAAACAAAACTTGGCAATTCATTGTATCGTCATTTGATTGAACATACAGTAGCTTTCAATATGATAATAGTAATCAATGGCTGACTTTTCCTTGTGTAACGGGGCCCAGATTGGTACATAAACACGATTGGACTGGAGTACTACCGGTTGTCTCTCCTTGATCTCCTGATAAGATGAACCTTTGATGCTGTTTCAGAAATTCCCGACATCCAAGTGGAACTCGGAAACGGTGTCCTACATCCTCACAAATAAGGATTTTATGAGAAATATTGATAAAAATATAAACAATTGGCTCAAGTCTCCCACAATTCCACTACTAGTCTCTCCCTGATCTCCTGATAAGATAAATATTTGATGCTATTTCAGAAATTCCCGTCATCCAAGTGGAACTCTGAAACGGTGTCCTACAAGGTGGAATGGCAGAAGGTCGACAGTCAGGTGTCCTCTACGGGTCTTCTTGAGGAACCCAATGCAATCATCTACACAGCTACACTGGGCATTGAACTCTACACACAGTACAACGTACGGGTGCAGGCAAAGAACGGCGAGGGAGAAGGTCCCTTCAGTGAATGGGCAGTCATCTATTCATACCAAGAAGGTAGGTATCTAGACTTAATTCGTTATGAAGATAATGGTAAGAATGGTGAGGGAGGGTTGATGACTAAGATGGTGAAAAGGAGGAGGAGGGGAGGAGCAGAGGAGGAGAAGAAGGGATGGAATGGGAGAGGAGGAGGGAAGGGAGGGGAAGAGATTTTAAGATTTTGGAATGTTGAAAAGAAAAGGACAAAAAGCCAAAGCTTTACTTTGACCTGTCATAGGACAATACACTTCAGGAAAACTGATACAATTACAAATGACACAGACACATCAACACCGCTTTTATGACTGCTTATTCAGAGGTGATCACTGGATTTAGGATGTCCTATTCTAATGACATCAAACAAGCCATTAATCCTCCGATGAATCAAACCCTTCCATCCTAAAGAATCCTAGAGTCTTCTAACATCATTAGTGCCCCAAGTAGACCAAGTTCTTTTGGTAGTAAAACTTTCTTTTCGGCTTGACTTCCATGAAGCTCAAAGTATTCTTGTTCACTTCATTTTGCTCTGCAGCACCCAAGACAGCTCCCACTGGAGTGAAAGCAGAGAGAGCTTCTGGGACCACCATCAATGTAAGCTGGGACGCAATTGATGAAAGCACTTTTGAGGGAGAACTCATGGGATATAAGGTAAGTGGGGTCTTCTAGATAAAGAGAATGGAGTAAACTTCTTTCACAGGCACTTAAAGCCCATCGCACACTTTACAATCTTTCCGCGATCTGATTCGAAAAATGGCAATTTTATTAGATATGGAAATCTAAAGAAACATCCTCTTCCTGATTTAGGTTCTAGATAATGAAAAGAATTCTCACCTCTGGAATTATAGTGCACTGAACCTTCTAGTCCGAATCAAAGGCGAATCAGCTTCAAATCATAGACAATCGTTCAACTAGTATGACTTCACTGCGATTCTGAGCTCATTTTCATTTTCCTCCTCCAAGGGAGATTGAAATCCATGGAAATTTAGAATTTATTAATCATATGATTATTCAGATCGTTGGTCATTAAGATTTTAGAAGTTTGAATTCCCACATCAAATGCTATTGCGAATTCTTCCCAAATTAGATCAAGCCGGATCGTATCGTGTGCTGTTGGCTTAACTCAACAAACCTGGCAACCTATAAGTCCCTCTACAATACTGTTCTGAATAATGCTTTTTATCATGTAAAATAGTGGGTTCAATATGTTGCTTATCGGTACCTATATTTCAAGGTATATTAAACTATGGCAACATTTTTATGACAAATTTTAATTGGTCAATATATAGATATATTAAAGCCTCTATATAAAAGCCCCATAACATAAAAAGGAATGCTGTCTTAACCGACAGACGGTGTGTTACACTTTTCTGAAATAGAGGTTTTCATGAGATACACTGTTCCATCGAAACAAATGTATGGTCTTTTCAGACGGTTGGTCTTTCTAGACATATATTTTCTGTATAATTTTTTGGGGTACATCATTGTACGACATGATAATTACTGTAACAAGAGGGTCTCTTGATAACTCCTTGTCCTTCAATCATGCACAGATTACCATTTTTGGTTTTCTAGTGATGACGGTGATGAAGCTGATGGTAACACAGAAGAAAGCCTCTGGGTTTGGACCATGAATACAATCTGAAACTTTAATCTTTGTAATTTGAATGATGTACTTATCACAACTCTCTCTCTCTCTCTCTCTTTCTTTCTCTATCTCTTTCTCTTTTCTTTTTTTTATCTCTCTCTCTCTCTCTCTCTCTGCCTCCCTTTCTCTCCCTACCTCTCTCTTTTGCTCTCTCTCTCTAGTTGAAGTATTGGAGTGATGCCAGTAATGAAGCCAACGCTAACACCGCAGTCAGTCTGGGAATTGGAACCTCAAATACAATCGCAGGCCTGGAACCCAGCACCAGGTACACTGTAATGGTGGCAGCATACAGCGGAGGTGGTAACGGACCTGATAGCAACACGGCTTCAGATACGACTTTCAAGAGCGGTAAGATATGAAGACTGAAAGGAGATGGGTACATTTCATGCAAAATGTGTCTTTCAAGACACCACTGACCCATGTACCTTCTTTGTTTATTAAAGCATCCATGCTTGTTTACCGTATCTGTATTAGTGGCATCCATTAGGCAGATATATCACATATTACTGAGAGGATGCAAATCTTGGATCTTTTCCAGATTTAAGAAAGGTACATGATTGAAAGAATCATGATTTTTCTCTCATATTCTTGAAAATCATTCTTATTCATTGCTAGAAATCAGTGCCATTAATATCTGTATGATCTATACAATTCCAGAAAATGTACATACTAATGCATCACAAGTATAATTTCATGAAATAATTTCAACATCATTTTTTCCCCATCGTTCATCTTGATGAAACCATCCACGGTATTATAGTTCACAATTTTTAACCCTGTTCAAATTATGTTATGAAGAATAAGCTTTTTCAGTCCACAAGATATTTCCATTGAAAAAAACAAAAGTGTACTTTATATTTCATTGGCCATCACATGCTATCACAGCACATTCCACCTAGTTTAGGTTAGAAAATCTGCTTCTAGGATTATCTCATCAAGGTTTCGTAATTTGAAGAAAAAAAATGGAATTTATATGGTTGGGAGCACGAATTGCACAGAGAGAGTTAGAGTTGGGAAGATGTATTACACGTGCATACATCTTGGTTTCAAGGTCACATATCCCTTTTTTCTTTTCCCCTTTTGATTGTACAGCACCCATGCAGAAACCAACAGGAGTGAGGGCAGTCCAATCAGAAACAGGCGGTGATCTTACAGTTAATTGGAATGGTATCACTACATCAGCATCTGAAGAGCCGCTCATGGGATACAAGGCAAGTCTCCTTCAAAATCCATTAGCCTTAAGCCCACCTAACACTACACGACTGTCCTGGAATCCGATGTTCGAAGAAATAACAATTGTACTAGATAGGAAATTTAAACAAACACCATTTTTCAGATTATGCTTCTAGATAATTGTAAGAATACTAACAACCAGAATTTTAGTGCATTGAATTCAGAATAAAAGTCAGAATAAAAACAGATAACAGCTTAAAATCTTAGACAAAGCCTTAATATTAAAGAAAGAAAAAAAATCTCAAAATATAGAGTCCTAGTTGATGCATATTATTAAAGGGTCAAAGGAAATATATGTGAAAATCATCCCCGTATTTTGATCTTGAATCATATAAGCCAGAAATAGGATGGCTGTAGATAAATGATCATTATTATCGTCAATATTCAATATTTGATATCATTGGAGTGATGCAAGTTTTGTTATATTAATGGTATATACATATATATATATATATATATATAGACTGGATGTTGTTTGTGTATTTTATTACATTAGATTTGAAGTGAATAAGTTCTTTCCTCCTCTAGCACTGTTATCCTTCTAAAGTATAAACCTTGCAATTCTTTGATTTTGACCTTGCCATAGGTTCGCTACAGGACGGAGGGTACATTCGCTCCAGATGCCGTGACTATCATTGTCCAAGGCAATGAAAAGACGACAGCTATAATCAGAGGCTTGACTTACGAGACCACATATCTGATCACTGTAGTAGGATATAGTGACGGGGGTAACGGGGCCAGTAGTAACCCTCCTTTATCGGTTACAATAGGTGAGTGCAGTAAGATGACGACAAACAGATGAGGGGGAAACATGGTCCCTCTTTGTATTTTGTCCTCATTTGATTTTGTTCAAATGTTGCAGGGACAGAGTTTGCCTACATTTTCATTCTTAACCCTTTATAGCAACAAAACCGCCCCTCCTTTTACTCACTGAACTGCCCGAAACCGAACGTCCCTCACCACCTTCAACTCACTGTGCGTAATGATGAAGTACTCAAGTCCGTTTTCAACGCGCTATAGTATCCGTTCTGGGGTCTACCGTGATAATGTTATACGTGCGTAATCCTTACGATGTCTACAGTAGGATTCTGCATAGAAAAATAGCACATGTTTCATATTGTTCAGAACTATGTCAAAATGAGAGCAATATTAAAACATCTTTCTTTGAGTAATAGGCCATTTTTACAAAATCCACTAGTTGCTAATGGGTTAATGATGTGGGGAGGGGGGGGGGGGGGGGGGGGTGGGGGGGTGGATTACACATGTACTTAAATGTGATATTAAAGAAAGGCGAGGAAGTATATGAAGGATGCAAGTTAAGCCCAAAGCTTCAAATAAAGAAGTTTATACCACCCACAAAAATGTGACCTCTTCCTTTCTGTCTTTAAAAAGAAATGTCTTTGATCAAGTCAACACTCACGATCTTGCAATTTTAAATTGTGTTTAGTATGTACATGCAAAGAATTTATTTTATATTCGTTATCACATATTTTCAGATTTTCAGTCTTTCATGATACTTTTTCCCTTTCTCTTTCTTGTCTTTAAACAGCTAAAGGAAGAACGGGACAATCGAGTGACGATCCAAACGGAGCATCAAGAACCGCTGGAGTGTTATCGTTCTCTCTTTTCTGTGTAGTAACACTCCTTCATTCATTATCCCACCTCTTATGAGATGGTACAGACCAAATACTGTAGTCTATTAGTAGTACTTCAGCTCATACCATATTGTAAATTAGGGGTGTCTTGCCTCGTTAGGGAGTGAGGGTGTCAGGATAGTGGAACGTATTGGACATGAATGAATAGTGTGACGGTAAAATGTGTTAATGATCATCTTATAAATTCCACTCTCTTCCTATCTCTCTCTCTCTCTCTCTCTCTCTCTCTCTCTCTCTCTCTTGATCTGTCTCCACCTCTCTCATCTGTTGGTCATGTGTGACATGATGTGCTGAAAAGAGTTTGTATCAATTATTCTGAAGTTCGAGTATGTTTTAAGATTGTGTTCATGAAACCTTAAAATGCTATTTCCTCTGTAAGTTTGGTCACAAATCATAATGCTGTATTTATTAAAACAATTCAGTCTGATGAAATAAGTTTGTTATCTCATTCATCTACATTGGTTGATATAACCCTTTCATACTGCTTTTTCCACACAATATTTAATGCAAGTCATCCATGTAAGCTGTTGGAAAACAGAAATTAAACTTCATGTTAAATATCTAGAAATGCATTTGAATGTGCATATGAATGACCTACTTTAATTCTTTAATTTCATCATGTTACAGTAACCCTGTGCATGAGTGAGATACACTAGTAGGAATAACTTGTAAGGAATTTTTTTTTTCTATGCAGGCCGTGCATATAGATAGAAAGTGTTAAAGGGGCGTATCAATCATGCCTCTATTCTAAAAGAAACAGTTTTAGGTGTATGGCATCGATCAGTAATTTCCAAATCTGTTAATATATTGTACAGAACAATTATGTATGTAATGTCTGTTTGATGTATGATGACTGTACATGAGTGTGTGTATTTGAGGGAGTGTATGTGAAATATATATATATGTTTTGTAATATATTTTCTGCAGGTTTGTGCGGATCATATTTTTTTCTTTACTTGAAGCTTAAGCTTTCGTTATCCGCTGAATTATCTGTACGATGTCAAATTCTTATTTTTTAAATACCTGAGTTAGGCAATATTGATGTTTAAACCATTGATGTTGATATGCAAGCAAAAGTTATTTTGCCATTTTATGTTTCTATGTTTGTGATATGTTTCCAGAGTAAATGGTATTTTAACTCTTTTGTTGTTCTTTCAATTAGTTTTTACCAAACTTTGCACAATTTTCCCACCACTGTACAGACTAACAATCATAATCAGTTTGGTCTCTTGGAATTACATTGAGATATCTAATACTCTTACTTTTAATTTATAGTGCTTCTATATTCCTCTTGCTGCTTGAACAGTCAGTACTGCTTAGATATGTTCTTTACAAAGTACTAAGATTTAGTTCTATGTTGCATAACTTTTTTGAAGTAGGGTAAGTTGCGATTGCTGAATACATTTATATTAGTAGTGATATGTTAAGGTTTCAAGCAGGAACACAAAAACTTTTTTTTTTCTTTCCTGAATCAAGTTTATTGTCCTGTTATTTAAATTGTTCAGACTATTGTATTCATATTACTTGTACATTTTGAAAGCCTACGTGGAGGCATGCTTTTATTTTGTATATCTGACTTTTAAGCGTCTGTTTGAAACCTGGTGCAAGCCATGCATTGAGAAAGAGAGGAAAGCTGGCACTTTTTAATCATAGACCGTTTGTAATATATAATCGTATCTATTTCTTGGTGCCTCTGTTAATAATGACCCATAGTGTTTGAAAACATATCTCGTGTATTTATTAGATAATGTGAAATTAGTAGTAGTAGTAGTAGTAGTAATTACACATCAGTGCAGATAATCAATATGGTTAGGGCAGTGTGGTCGTTATAACAAACACATAGTAATAGTGGATGTCATTCATAGCCAGGTGTTTTCTCTCCATTCTCTCTCTGTCTCTGTCTTTCTCTCTCTCTCTCTCTATATATACATATATATATCTCTCTATCTCTCCCTTTCTCCCCCTGTAAATAGATGTCGTCTCTAATTGTTCATGTATCTTGTCACGTTTGACTTTTCCGTTCTATCTCTCCCTTTCTTTTCCTCTTTCTCTCATATGGTTCCAATTATTTTGTCTATACTGTCTGTTGAGACCCAGAAGGGTTTTAACTCGATATATGTTTAAGCCTTTCCTGCTCTCTGAAGAGCTTCAAAAACAATTGCCTGTAAGTTGCAACCTCCTGTTAATTCATTGGACATTTTGTTAAAGCAAATACTTTCACCTGCTTGTAAGTGATTGTTTGATCTTGATTTGCTTAATATATTCAGACACTTTCGTCATGCAAAAGATTCAAACCAATGTTCTAATCACGCATGAAGCTAACATCTATACAATTGAAATTTACTATCACTCTGCATATGTACCTTTTACCTCATTTAAAAGATCTGGAGAAAAAAAAAGTATACTTAATGCTATAAGTTTCAAATCATCACTTTTAATATTCTGATGTCTTAAAGTGCCACTTGAGTAAGACTAAGCTCAGTTATCAGGTTACAATGCTGTGTTCTTCATAATACATTAAATCCTTTTTCAACTGAGTTAGCGCATCTAGTTATAACACTATCTATATATGTACTGTATATATTCCCTTTGATTAAGAAGTTAAGATACTAATGGAGGTGAATAATACTGAAATAGCTGAGAAGTATAGGAGAAAGGTAGAAGGAAACGCCCAAAAGAGGGCATAATCTTAATCTTGACATCATGGAAGCTACACTTACAGTTTTAGGACCAATAATCTACATCGACATGAAATTCACAGGAATTTTACAAAATGGTTATATTCATGGTGTATAGAAGCATATGATCTTAAATATTATTGCCATAGTAAGCCATCAAGGTCACAATGATTGCCAAGGGTATTTTTAATATTTTAGCTGCAACTAACTTTTGTAAGATTTCTAACTTTAATCTATTTGCATAGAGTAAATGTACACTAATTTGTTTGTTTTATCACAACATTTATGTTGATTCATTTACCTCATATGTTTGCAACATGATAACTGTTGGTTTAATACTGTTTTGTACTGTAAAAAGTTGCAAGAAGTACAATTCTGAATCACCCCAGCAAATTCTGTGAAAGATACTGTGACATAACCCATTACAAAACATATATTTCATAAACATATTCAACAATGTGTATTGCGTATTTATGAATTTTTAAGAAACTGTATGCTTTATACATGATGCTGTGTGCTGTACATTTAACATACCTCATGTGGTGTGCTGTACATTATGCATATTCCTCTGTACATATCTTCTGTAGCTCTATTGGAATATCACATTTTCTTTTCATGAAATATAATACCATACACTTCTGCATATGTACTCATCTCTTGTTGTACATTAAAACATGAAATTAGTTAAAAACCATTTGAAGAATATATTTTCGATGGTCATCATCAACACTATATTTTCCTAACAATAGTGTGTACCGATAACTACAATAGGCCTTTACTCCAAAGGGTTCAATTGAACAGTAGTAGATAACCAAAAAAGGTTATAATCTGGAAACCTCTTCCTTGTTGCATTATTTATTCGATAAATGTTTCAAGTGGATATTCTACTCTTTATCAAAATTACATTGTTCAAAGTTTCAAACCCCAGATTTTAGACATTATGCTTAAATCTATTAAAAATAGAACAGAAATGAATCGTAGAGTAAGAGTTTACATGACAGTATACAATGGTTGTATTCAGACAAGAATATAAACATTTTAAATCAAATCAAGAGTTACTGTAAATCATTTTTAGCGTTAAGAAAATTATTGTATTGCATCATCTTTTCAATCCATGGTTAACTCTATATGTAAACAATGTCTGTTTCTGAATGTCTCAGTATTTTTAGTGTCGATGTGGAATGTATTTTCTCTCAGGTTTTCTATCTCTTAGGAGCTTTTTAACCTTGTACTCATGTGCACCTATGTTATTTCTCTCATTGTCATTGTCTTTGGGAGGTGTGTATAAATAAATGTGAAATTCAGTGTTGTTTCAGTACAAATAAAAGCATCGGATGTGTGTTTCTTTGTGTTTGGTTATCGTTACTTCTGAAGTCGGGGTATAAAATATATCGTTGGGATTATACGAGTATGATTATGGACTATTATTATTACAGGACATGTTTTTTTTTTTTTGAGGGACCATACCCTATAGAAGAATAAGAAGAATGAATAGAAATATAATTATCTTCTTCAAGAGATACACCAGTGGAGTGATCAGATGGTAATATGCACTAGGCTGTAGTCTATAATTTGTAGTATCAACTAGGAAGTTACTGTTATCAACCTTACTGTATGAAAAGTTAAGTTCCACCTCTTTGCAAGATGGTATTTGCCAAGCTATTGTTCCATCTAGTTACATGGCCAAATCACTTTCTTGGGGGATGTATATGAAGTTTACTGGATTTGCAAAAGCATTGTTTGCTTTTCCATTTCTGCATTCAGTATCCATGTTTCACAGCCATATAGAAAGACTATTGGAGAACCTGTGTTTCAAGGGTCCATTTCATTGTCATCACAATGGCCTGCAAGCTATGGGACATGGATAGATATAAAAAGTTAAATTAGTCTGTCTTGAATATATTCCAAACTATCTTCAATGTTTAGCCAAAATTAAAATCCTATTCCCATTGATATTATTCATAAACCAGCAACTGAAGATTTAACTGGAAAGGGATTTTAAAAAATATTCTTATAAAAGAAGTGATTGCACATGTATTAGCACGTAATGCACGTTACATGGATATGTCTGAAGTGAAAAAATTACAATCTGACAATGGCCTCCATAGCGGCATCGAAACAAAACTCAAAAACACAAAGTATACCTGATTATGAATAGGCCTCAATTAACTCTCCATGTGTACTATATAGAGAGACCTACATTTCCAACGATGCAGACAGATCTAATCGATATACTTCTTGCACTTATCTGTTGCACATCAGGTACGAGGTCTAGCGCCATCTAATGTTCGTCTAAAAAAGAAATCTACTTATTTTTAATTCCCGTTCTACCACTCAAATACATTGCGTTCATGTCTCTTCCTTCTTTTCATGTTACAGAGAATGGATAGTTGACAATACAAAGCAAAAATCATAGCTTAAATTGTACATCACCACTTTTTTTATTATTTCATAAACACTGATCATTCATTTTGTTAACGATTACTCAAAATTATAGATGAGAACAAATAACTTTTGCTATGATAATGATTCTATAACGTCATGCATTGTGTTCCCCAATGTTATTGTCTTCGTGTTTGTATATAAATTGTTCTATACTTCTATAAGAAACATTTACATGATCTAGAAATCTAACTATTGCAAATAACGAATGTCGTATCTCGTAGTATAATTGTGCTCAATGTATTTTCCAATTAGTTTGCGGTAATATGATGGACGTGACGTATTTTACCAATGTCAGACGTTGGCACAAATTATTATAGCGCCATATATTTTGTCAATATTCATTGTGGGTGGAATACATTACGCATGAGGGTGTCGCTTTCAAGAATAAACGGGTACACAAATCAAATAAAAGATGTTTAACCTTGCTTAGCTTCCAGTGAAAGAGAACATAAACCTTGGAGGGATATGCAGTGTAGAGGGTCATTACACTTGAGAATTGTCCCCGGTCTGATATTAAGAACCGGTACTAATTCATTCACGATCCAAACCCTACACGGTCGGCGCCTTCAAAGGGCGATCATAAATTAAATGAATCTTCTGGAAGACGAAAAAAATCAAAAGAGGAGTGTTTTGTTATTGAGCCTTTGTGGGGGCAGTAGAGTGAGGTTGGTCTTGGTAGAGATCACAGGACAAGTACCGATGTACTATCATAGGAACCTTTTGAGAGGAATGGTTGGGCGAGGAACAGGTTGTGGCGGTGGGTAAAACACTTTCTGAACAAAAATAAATCTAAACAAAGTCAATGGAGAGGGGGAAAACAAACTTTGCTTGTTTTGTGGTACAAGAGTGAAAACCATTGCCGAAGGTTGACTTTCAAAAGAAATTTGAGATGGTTGCGTCAGGTGATTAAAAGGCTATTCATGAAAACATTAGCTAGGGATAAAGCGGGTTCGGGCATGATTCGGGTCTGTTTTATCTCATGGAAACATCAAATTAACCATGGTCATTTCGTGGACAGTGGCGGCGGACTTTCAAATCTTCTAGACATTCTCTGAAAAGGTGATCATGAAGAAGAGAAGAAATATTTCAGATTGTCTGCGAATGGCTTGTAACTGTAGGAAGTGGAACTGAAAGAAGATATTTGCCGACTTAGAAGAAGCATGTATATTTAGTTGTTGTTCTTTCTGTCTGCTCAAACCTATAGACATATTGTATCTTAGGTTTTTTGTCGCATTTATCTCTTTTATATTGTTTTGCACAGCAACAACATATCCTTTTTTATTTTACAAATACTATGTGTCACTTGGGTTAGGGTTATGGTTGGTAATGGATTTTGAACGTTTCTTTCAGACTCTGTCTCAATCTCTATAATATCGGTTTAAATTTGACTGATTGGCAGACAAACAGTATAGAAATTATCTTTTGAAGTGGCAATGAAAAGATGATGATTATTATAAATCTACTAATTAGAAAATGGAGGAATAAATTTTGATGAGAATCCAAAACGTGCAACTCTGCCTCTCTATTTCTCCAGGTTTTATTTATCAAAAAGTGATGAATTGCAATGTCAACAAAGTTCAACAGAGTTTGTAAATTCTACATGATTAATATCCCTTTTCCACATCATTTCTACCGGATTTTTTAAAACCGTATAGGGCTATGGGAATCTTTTAGGGAGACTTGCACCTAATCAGGGACTCGTAAAAATGGTGCCCGAGTTCTAAACCATTCTAAAGCCAGAGTATCCCACAGAACACCAAAGTCTTCTGTATTAATTTCCATTCCAAATTAACGATTTGAAGAAAACTTTAAATGTAGGATTAGAAGAAGAATTTGTACAATGTCGGACATTTTAATCATTTCGTAGCATATCGTCGCATACAATGAGAATTTGTATCGTAAGAAATAAAGCATTTATAACAGGAACTTACTATTTCGTTTTATGTAAAGATGTATACACTTCAACTTAAATTAATCCAACAACTAATTTTAAAAAGGCAACTCTTACAGAATATTTCCCATTCAAATTGGATACACTGTCACTATATCTGAAGCTTATTTACACACTCGTTTGTTTTGAAAAAATTCGTGAATTATAGCATTAGAAAATATGTGCTTACGATATTATTTTTTAGAAATTTTGAAGATGGTTAGGCAGATATTATTTTATGAAAATAATCCTGAAGAATTATCAGGTATATGTACAGACATTTGTTCCTGTCGTATCCGTCCTACTGCACTTTTATGTAAAACAAATACCACATATATGATACAACTTTAATACCCTACTTCAAAAGCTGTGCAACATAGAACTAAGATTTAGTACTCTGTAAGAACATATCTAAGCAGCACTGACTGTTAAAGCAGCAACAGGAATATAGAAGCACTATAAATTTAAAGCAAGAGTATTATAATATCCCAATATAATTCCGAGAGATCAAACTGATTATGATTATTAGTCTGTACAGTGGTGGGAAAATTGTGCAAAGTTTGATAGAAACTAATTGAAAGAACAACAAAAGTAATTCCATTTACTCTGAAACATATCACAAACATAGAAACCTAAAATGGCAAAATAACTTTTTCTTGCATATCAACATCAATGGTATTAAACATCAATATTGCCTAACTCAGGTATTTAAAAAATAAGAATTTGACATCGTACAGATAATTCAGCGGATAACAAAAGCTTAAGCTTTAAGTAAAGAAAAAAATATGATCCGCACAAACCTGCAGAAAATATATTACAAAACATATATATATATTTCACATACACTCCCTCAAATACACACACTCATGTACAGTAATCATACATCAAACAGACATTCCATACATAATTATTCTGTTACAATATATTAGCAGATTTGGAAATAACCGATCAATGCCATACTATACACCTAAAACTGTTTCTTATAGAAACTAGAGACATGATTCACATGCCCCTTCAATATATATACTTCCTATTTATATGCATGGCCTACATAGAAAACAAAAACTCCTTACAAGCTATTCCTACTAGTGTATCTCACTCATGCACAGGGTTATGGGTTACTGTAACATGATGAAATTAAAGTAGGTCATTCATATGCACATTCAAATGCATTTTGAGATAAAATAAAGTCTAATTTCTGTTTTCCAACAGCGTACATGGATGACTTGCATATTTTGTGGAACAGGTATTATGGAAGGGTTATATTGACCATTATAACCTATACAAGGCGTTTTAGCTGCAAAATAAAAAGCCATATTCTACACGCTACTCCGAACACGAAACCAAAGCGGGCAACATTTGCCATATTGCCCTCTTCCGGGTTTTTCCCGTAGACCACTGTACTAAATTAGAGGGCAACATTCTGACATATTCTACTCTTTCTTGTCAGTGCGCTTATATTAAAGTGTATACGCGCAGTACTGTGTAGGCGTTAAAGTGTACGCGTGATGACAATTTACGTCAAAATTACATTTTCATACATTTTCTTTCTGGACAAGAGTAAGAGAAATACATGCATACATGGTGAGTAAAAATCATGCTTGATACCAAAGTTGTATATCATTTGTAAAAAAATGCCTTGTATACTGTAGATTATAATAATTTATTGACAGGGCTTCTTTCAGGATACATTAGAAATATTGACCGCGCTAAGACTATATTGCCCTCATCTTCGACTCGGGGCAATATGATCTTAGCTTAGTCAATATTTCTGATGTACCCCTCAAGCCCACTCAATATAATATAAATCTAGATGAATGAGATAACAAACTTATTTCATCAGACTGAATGGTTTTGATAAATACAGCATTATGATTTGTGACTAAACTTACAGAGGAAATAGCATCTTAATTTAAATCTTAAAACATACTTGAACTTCAGAATAATTGATACAAACTCTTTTCAGCACATCATGTCACAATGTCGCACATGACCAACAGATGAGAGAGGTGGAGACAGATCAAGAGAGAGAGAGAGAGAGAGAAAAAAAAGAGTAGAATTTATAAGATGATCATCAACACATTTACCGTCACACTATTCATTCATATACAATACTTTCCACTTCCCTGACACACTCACTCCCTAATTAGAGGCCAGACACCCCTAATTTACAATATGGTATGAGCTGAAGTACTACTAATAGACTACAGTATTTGGTCTGTACCATCTCATAAGAGATGGGATAATGAATTGAGGAGTGTTACTACACAGAAAAGAGAGAATGATAACACTCCACCGGTTCTTGATGCTCTGTTTCCATCGTCACTCGGTTGTCTCATTCTTCCTTTAGCTGTTTAAAATCAAGAAAGAGAAAGGGAAAAAGTATTAAGACTGGAAATCTGAAAATATGTGAAAACGAATATAAAATAAATTCTTTGCATGTACATATACTAAACACAATTTAAAAGTGTCAGTTCATATTAGACATTTTTTTTTAAAGACAGAAAGGAAGAGGTCTCATTTTTGTGGGTGGTATAAACTTCTTTAGCTTTGGGCTTAACTTGCATCCTTCATATACTTCCTCGCCTTTCTTTAATATCACATTCAAGTACATGTGTAATCCCTTCCCCCTCCCTCCCCCCTCCCTTCCTCCCCACATACACACATCATTAACCCATTAGCAACCGTAGAGATTTTGTAAAAATGGCCTATTACTCAAAGAAAGATGTTGTAATATTGCTCTCATTTTGACATAGTTCTGAACAATATGAAACATGTGCTATTTTTCTATGCAGAATCCTACTGTAGACATCGTAAGGTAGACCCCATAGAGGGATACTACAGCGCGTTGAAAACGGACTTGAGTATGTACTTCGTCATTACGCACAGTGAGTTGAAGGTGGTGAGGGATGGTCGGTTTCGGGCGGTTCAGTGAGTAAAAGGAGGGGCGGTTTTGTTGCTATAAAGGGTTAAGAATGAAAATGTAGGCAAACTCTATCCCTGCAACATTTTAACAAAAACAGAGGGACCATATTTCCCCTTCATCTGTTTGTCGTCATCTCACTGCACTCACCTATTGTAACCGATAAAGGAGGGTTACTACTGACCCCATTACCCCCGTCACTATATCCTACTACAGTGATCAGATATGTGGTCTCGTAAGTCAAGCCTCTGATTATAGCTTTCGTATTTTCATTGCCTTGGACAACGATAGTCACGGCATCTGGAGCGAACGTACCCTCCGTCCTGTAGCGAACCTATGGCAAGGTCAAAATCAAAGAATTGCAAGGTTTATACTTTAGAAGGATAACAGTGCTAGAGGAGGAAATAACTTATTCACTTCAAATCTAATGTAATAAAATACACAAAGCACATTCAGTCCATATATATATATACCATTGATCAATCAAAGCAAGTAAAATATTCAAACAAGTAAAATATTAATGACAGTGGACATGATAGTCACATGATTTAGAAAATCTAAATTTCAAAGTAGTGCAAATGTCTAAGATTTTAAGCTGAAATCTGATTTTATTCTGACTTTTATTCTGAATTCAATGCACTAAAATTCTGGTTGTTAGTATTCTTACAATTATCTAGAAGCATAATCAGAAAAATGGTGTTTTGCTATCTAGTACAATTGTTATTTCTTCGAACATCGGATTCCAGGACGATCGTGTAGTGTTGGGTGGGCTTAAGGCTAACTGAGTTTGAAGGAGACTTGCCTTGTATCCCATGAGCGGCTCTTCAGATGCTGATGTAGTGATACCATTCCAATTGACTGTAAGATCACCGCCTGTTTCTGATTGGACTGCCCTTACTCCTGTTGGTTTCTGCATGGGTGCTGTACAATCAAAAGGGAAAAAGACAAAAGGGATATGTGACCTTGAACCCAAGATGTATGCATGTGTGTAATACATCTTCCCAACTCTAACCCTCTCTGTGCCATAGGTGCTAATAACCATACAAATTCCATTTTTCCAATTGTGTACCTTGATGAGATAATCCTAGAGGCAGATTTTTCCAAGCTGGAGTGGGGTGTGCTGTGATAGAATATGATGGTGTGATTGACAATAAAACAGTGTACAATTTCTATTCACAATAGAAATATCTTGTGGACTGAAAAAAAGAAGTTCTTCATAAAGTAATTTAAACAGGGTTAAAAATTGTGAACTTCAATACCATGGAAAATGAATTTATCAAGATGAACAATGGGGAAAATGATTTTGAGATTATTCCATGAAGTTATACATGTGATGTACGTACATTTTCTGGATCTGTCATGAACATACAAATATTAATGGAACTGCTAATGAAATTTCAGGCAAAGAATATGTATGATTTTACAAAAATATGAGATAAATGGTATGATTCTTCCTATCATGTACCTTTCTTTAATCTGGACAAGATCTAAGATTTGCATCCTTTCAGTAATATGTGATCTAGATATATACAAGCATGAATTCTTTAACACACAAGGTACATTGGTCAGCGGTGTCTTGAAAGACACACTTTGCATAAAATGTATCCATCTCCTTTCAATCTTTCTATCTTACCGCTCTTGAAAGTAGTATCTGAAGCTGTGTTGCTATCGGGTCCGTTACCACCTCCGCTGTATGCTGCCACCATTACAGTGTACCTGGTGCTGGGTTCCAGGCCTGTGATTGTATTTGAGGTCCCAACTCCCAGACTGACAGCGGTGTTAGCGTTGGCTTCATTACTGTCATCACTCCAATACTTCAACTAGAGAGAGAGAGATGGAGACAGGTGGAAAGAGATAAAGAAAGAAAGAGAGAGAGAGAGAGTTGTGATAAGTACATCATTTAAATACAAGATTAAAGGTTTGAGATTGTATTCATAGTCCAGACCCAGAGGCTGTCTTATGTGTCACCATCAGCTTCATCACTGTCATCACTAGAATACCAACAATGGTGATCTGTGCATGATTGAAGGACAAAGAATTATCAAAAGATCCTATTGTTACAGTAATCATCATGTCGTACAATGGTTGCACAAATGATGTTCCCCGGAAGCTACTACAGAAAATATTTGTATAGAAAGACTAACTGTCTAAAATGACCATACCTTTGTTTCGATGGAAGAGTGTATCTCATGAAAACCATATCAGGACAATTAGCTCCTGGGCAATAACCCCCCTGAAAATTTGGTAAGGTCAGGCGTTGATGCTTTCTTCTCTTCTGGAGGGAGGTCCATCTAAGTTGACTCAGCATGTCAGAGACGCTATATGTATGATGATAGCGGTTGAGAACATATCTCACTGCTAGTCTCAGGACCTTTTCCAACTGGTTTAGACATCTGATGGTGTGTGGATCCCAGACAGCAATCCCATACTCAAGAAGAGGACGAACAAGAGTCTGGTATGCAGTAGTCTTAAGCTAAGTGGAGCTGACATGCAGGTTCCTTCTTAGAAAGGCTAGGGTGTTGTTTGCCTTCTTACAGGTGGCAGATACATGCTGTGTCCAGTTGAGGTCAGCAGTGAGAGTAATTAATGCCAAGGTATTTGGCAGCTGACACAGACTCCAAGACTTCTTCATTGAGGGAATACTGTTGGACATACTTGGTCTTCTTCCTCGAGAAAGTTATGACCTGGCATTTCTTTTGATTTAGTGCCATCATCCACTTGCTTGACCACCCACAAAGCTGATCAAGATCCTGCTGTAGCAATTCTGCATCCTCAGGTGTCTGGGTGCTATGGTACAGAATTGTGTCATCGGCGAAGAATCTGACTTTCGTTGAAAGTTGGTTTGGCAGGTCATTTATGTAAAAAAGGAAGAGGCAAATATGTGCTCCATCATTTTACAGATGATACTTGTGAGAGAGATTGGACGATAATTCTCAGGATCTGTTTTATCTCCCTTCTTGTAGATGGGGACCACGTCCGCAAGGCCCCAATCATCCGGAACTTCACTGGTCCTTTAAGAGACTTCAAAGATGGCACACACAGATGGAGCTACCACTCTTGAAAGCTTGCGGAGTAACAATGCTGGTATTCCATCTGGTCCCGTGGCTTTCCGGACTTTCGACTTCTCCAACATCTTAACAATGCCTTGGGTTGAGATGTGGATGTCCGGCATGGCATCATAAGGAGATGTTTCAGGAAAAAAATCAGTGGGAACATCAATTTCATTGATGAAAGCCATCTTGAATTTTTTGTTCGGTGCTTCAGTCTTGTCCTGGGGGCTTGTGATAGTATGCTCATCAGTTTTCAGAGTATAGGTATCCCACAGCGTTCAGTATGATGGTTCTTCACAAACTTCCAGAACCTCTTCATTCCCTCGTACTCATTGGGTCCATCAGCAGTGTAAATTGACTCAAGATGGCTCCAATATACCTTCCTTGATTCTGCTTGGATGAGGAGTTTCAAATGCTGCAATTCTGTCTCAAGTGGGAAAGAAACCAGAATGTTCTGTCTCCTGAGCCTATCACTTGCTTTTTAACCTATTGCTCTTATAGATGAGTTTACGGATACAGCTAGTAATCCATGGCAAGTCTTGTTTCTGTTTGAGCATCTTGTGGGGGAGAAATGTTTGAAAATACCCCCTTTAATTCCTCTCTTGAAGAGTTGACACAGGTCATGGACTGATGCACTGGATGACTTGCTACATATATAATCTGGCACATGTTACATGAGTTCTGCAAAGCCCTACCAGTCTGCTTTCTTGTACATATAAGAACTTTCCACTTTGGCTGGTATCTTTGTGGGGATAATATGTCTATATCAGCAACTGGACATGTGTGATCCGAGATACCAGGCACTACTACTCACAGAGTTGACCAAGGTTGAATTGCTGATAAGCATCAAGTCAAGATTGTTCGCTTGTCGAATAGGCTCTTTGACAAGTTGAGTAAGACTGTGATTGTTTATAATTTCACCAAACTGATGATGAAGGGCAGGGTAAGCACAGGGACCAACATAAGGGCCATCCCACTTCCATTCAGGTAGGTTAAAATCTCCTGAGAGGTGTCTTCTATCTAACCGGGATAGAGACTGTTGCAGGTCAGCGAGGCTGACTTCATCATCTTCTAATTTTGGTTGATAGCCCAGCAAACACAAAACGTTTTTAGAACGTTTACAGAACGTTCCTATCAGGTTCCGTACGTCTTCGTCCATATTAAACGTTTAAAAAACGTTTATATAACGTCTAAGTTGGGACTTTACATTCGCTGCGGAGCTAGGTCTTTTGAAGACGTTCAGAAAACGTTTTTTGGACGTTACAAATTAAACGTTCTTGGATAGGTCCTGTAAAACGTTTACAGAACGTTTTATTCAGACGTATTTTGTTGAATTTATTTTTTATGTCCAAATAAATTATCCTTAAAAAATACCAGCTGGCGAAATTAGGCCACATGCATACGCATGGGGGGGGGGGGGGTCGAGGTATGTCAAACTGATGCACTCCTGTGGCGTAGCGATGTAGGGAGGCACGTGCCCCCAATAATTTTGAGGGAAAAAATAGAAAACATAAGGTGAAATTATTTGAAGAAAAAAGAAATACATAAGGAATGACCCCTCCCCCTCACATAATGTTTGTGCCCCTCCCCCCCCCCCCCCCCCAGCCCAATCAGTCCGACCGCGCTACGTATGCTCCATTCAACCACGTGTATACAAAGTGCGTACGCACCGTATATAATAGTACCACTGTATAGGTCAGTGAATCGTATCCAGCGCGGCCGGTGCGGCGCGCTCGCTCCACCAGAGCTTGCCGCGTGTTTTAAACTGACTGACGAGTTGACTGCTTGATGACGTGACTTCGAGATTTCAAATAATCTGTTAGACTGCGACACCGAGGTAAGCGTTATTTTAACATTTTGATATCTGTAAGGAATTTAAGCTTTGTTTGATTGATTTTGAAGCATGTAAAATGAAATAAAATATTGATTATTTGCATTAAAACTAAAAGTACGGCAGACTCTATGTTGCATGTGCAGGCCGTTGAAACTTTCATTGCATTGACTGGTATGGTAATTGGGTAGGCTAGGGTATGTGCACACATAACTCCAGCTTCTTGGAGTTAGTGCATACATAGCTGCATTACTATCCTGGCTGTGTGTATTAAAAGCTGTGCTATTGATACTCAACATTTCAAACACCACTGTACAAAACTCTTTCACTAAAAATCGGTACTTTAGTGACAATTGATGACACCTAAATAGCAGTAGTCTAGTCTAATAAAATACAATTTGTTCAACTTACCGATGTTATTTTGTTAGAAAGAACAATTTAGAAATTCAAATTGTTTGTCTAGATCTACTGTCAAAATTTGCTTACAGCCGCATCGGCATGATTGTATTATGTGTGTATTGACTATTCCTTTTGAGCAAATGCTGCCTAAAACTTAAGTATTAACACGTAGTGCAGTGCTAGAGGTCAATATGCATAATAGCATGGACTCTTTGCTGGAGTGGGTATGTGCGCATGGCTCGTTACATTACATGGTAATCGGATGATTAAAACAGTTGAGTTGTTAACTTTGCTGTCTGGAAAAATCATGGAAAGTTCCCATTGGGATTTAAAATGCTATTTCGTGAAGAAAATAAGTCCCTCGACTACCAGCTCATTTCGCGACTTATTTACTCTTCCCTCAATAGCATTTAAAATCCCAGTGGAACATTTCATGCTTTTCCCTCCACCACCATTTAGCAACTTTATATTATCCCACCCCCTATTACAACAGGCTCCCCAAACCACTTTTTTTGTATGGAAATTGTTTTTTTAGAAATATCGCGACCTAGATCTATAGGCCTATCTTGTTCTCAATTTCGTCTCTTTAAAAAAAAATCTTTTTAGTTCAGATGACACATTATTTAAAGAAATTGATTTCCAATAACGTAGATTAATAACTTAAGGATTGATTTGTTTTATTTGTACATACAGGCAACTATGTGAAAGCGCATTAATTAATTAATTAATTAATTTGTAATCTAGGCATAAATTTCGGACAAGAAGTTTGCATTACCCAAAAGTTTGTTCAGTTTATGAGAATTCTTGTCATGTCTTGATATCCCTTTTAACATCTGCAATGTGTCTCTACTTTTCAGATCTTGAATCGGTTAGGACCCAAGAAAACAACATGTACGCGGAGGAACGATTAAGGCTGTGGCAGCAGAGATACCAATGCCGAAACTGAATGCGAAGTCCAAGTCCACATCACATTTTTCAGTTCCAACCCACAACTCCAGCAAGGGCTCGGGCTTTGGAAAGTAAGTTTTTTTCAGATAGCATTTCACAAACGAAAGTTTCTGAGGGTTTTTTTATCATCAGAACATATACTGTAGAGCGTATAAACTAACAAAACAACATTTGCCATTTGTACTAAGTTGCTACACTAAAATACTGTTGGATTGGATAAGAGAGGCAGATTATCTCGGCGTACATGTAATTTATTTCATCAACAAGGCATGGGTATAGTTTTCTTACAGAAGAGTCGCTTTTAAATCCTTACAGTATGTATACTTTGTTGGAAGCGCTGCACAGGAGTCGTCTTTGAAGCTGGGTGATATATTCCTGAAGTGACTAAATTTTTCAGCTATCAAACATATCTCGCCAAAATATCCTATTAATTTGCTGTCAAACTTTTTAATGACTTGAACTGTTATTATAATGTATTTTATGTGTCTGTTTTTTTCTTCTCAGGCAATTCTCAAGTGCAGGTACTGTGTACGCTGCAGACTAGTGCAGAGGCTGGAGGAAGGGCAGCAGCAGCTGAAGCAGTTGGTACAAAAACTGCTTTTGTCCAAATCGGGAGCGGCCGTTGATGTGGAAGACCTGAGGGAGCCGTTTACCAAACCAGTGAACACCAAATTTTCATTCAAGGTAGATTAAGATACCTTCATTCAGGGGCAATGCAAAAATCCTAAAACTCGTATTGAAACCAAATTTGACCATTTCAGCTAATAATGGAGAAACTTTATCAGCGACATAACAGTTTTGTTGGTGCATCTTTTTTAATTGAATTGCCATCATCTTGTTGAGAATGCAAGACAAAGTTGTATAGGTCTGTAAATTTACTACTTTTTGTAAGGATGCTGAAACCGATGGCCCGAATTCACAAAGGAGGTTTGAGCTCAAACCTTGGTTTTCGTACGTCATATGACGCGTTTTACGCGTTTTTTACAAACCTGGTTTGTAAAGAACAAAAGGAGGTTTGGCGAAACAAAAGGAGGTTTGAGCTCAAACCTTGGTCTGAGCTCAAACCTTGCTTTGTGAATTCGGGCCAATGTGTGTGCTGCCAAACTCTCTTATAACCTTGTCTTCTATATTCATAGACCCTTAAATTTGAGTATTTATATTTGCCTGTTAATAATTCATATCAACTCATTTCTATCAGTTTATTGTAAATAGCTTTTTGTAGATTGTTCATGTGTTTTGTGTTGATTTTATATTTGAAGTAAGATGCAGTGTCCAATGCAAGGCTTCTGGGAAATCTTAACCTGCCCACTAAATCTTTGGTCGATCAAAAGGACAATTTTTTACTGGGATTTAACGGGGAAATCTACCCTAGAAATTTCACTGCTTCAATCAAAGGAGACAAATTTGAACAAAATTAAAAATAAGAAATGGGCAAACTCGGTAAGGAAACTACTCTTTTTTTACATTTTCTAGTAAATTACTCTCGGCTATTCAAATTGACAATGCTGATGACATCTTGAGTAGCTCTAAATTCACTTTGTGCACAAAATTTCACATTTTCTAACCCCCATAGTCAAAGCATGTTGTGTAGAAAGCTACTCGTCATTAGTAATCTGAACATACTCTGATTAAAAGCTGTGGAAATGTGTAACTTTAAGGAAAATTTAGAAAATATGAAATTTTGAGTACAAAGTTGATGGATAGCTACTCACAGTGGTGTCATCAGTGTTGCCAATTTGTAGAGCTGAAACGAGTGTAGTTTCCTTGTGTTTTTGGCCGTACTTTCACTTGAAATGTGACTTCTCAAAATAGTCACATTTTTATCACTTGTAGAAGTTGATGAGAAAGTAAATACATGTACTCTTTTGAATAGTTATAATTTGCACCGGATGATGAAGCTAATCCTGGGTGGAGGCACATAGCTAAATCGGTTATTCACATGTATTTAATGATAATTTGTGACATTTTGTTAAAAGGTTCTGGAGAATTTGATATAGTACACAAAAAATTCAATCCACTATTTGGTTTTACCAAAGATCAAGACTTATTATAGAAAGATTTCTTAATCATTTGCTGGGGCATCTTTTTGGCATGAATTGCCAGGTTCTGTAAATAACTCAAATTGCTTTTATAAAGTGTGTTACCAAAGTTGCTATATGTGTGCTGCCAAATTATTGACACTATTCAAAGTATTCATTTTATCTTGCCTTGTTTATTCATAGAGACATAGACCCGTGAATTATATGAGTATTCATATTTGCCAGTTAATGAGGCATATCTTCAACTCATCTATCATTTTCTTATGTTTTATTTGTAGATTGTTCATGTGTTATGTATCTATAGTTTTAAAGGGATAGTTTAGTATTGGTCAAACTTAACTTTAAAACCAAAACCTGCACCATCACGGTGCAAAGTAATAATTACAAACGGCCAAGTAAAGCCCCTGTTATTATTCAAAATGACCCATTACTTTCAGTTTCTGCATTTAATGTTTGTTAAAATAATAATTAAATATATATCTATATCAATTGCTTTTTAAAGAACTGTTCAGATTTGTTTTCTTCAAAGTAGTCTTCAAGCATTTTTAATATTTTGAATAAAAATATATTTATGGATATTTCAGCCGTTTGTGAATCGATATTGATCAAATAACAATTTATTCTGAATATTAGAATTGTATGTTCTTTCGGGGGCACTTCGGGAAATACCAATACTCTTTTTCAAATATACATGATGTACTGTATTGCCAAGCCTTTGTACATATTTTGTAAATATGTTTGATAATAAATTCATAAAATCAATCAAATACATGTGTGACCTAGCGTTTATTAAAAATTCACTGTATATTGGACGTTCTCAAAAGTTTTTCTGAACGTTCTTAAAATGTTTCCAGGACATTCTAGACGTTCTTAAAAGGTTTTCTGAACGTTCTCAAAACGTTTCCAGGACGTTCTAGACGTTCGTAAAAGGTTTTCTAAACGTTTTCAAAACGTTTCCAGTACATTCTACACGTTCTTAAAAGGTTCTCTTGGACGTTCTAGACGTTCTTTAAACGTCCTGGAAACGTTCGAGACGTTCCTAAAAGGTTTTCCGGACGTTTTTAAGGTTCTTAAAACGTTCTTAAAACGTCCCAAACGTCCGACAGGTTTTCTGCAGGTCCTTGCACTTGAAAGCAAATCTATAAAAGGTTTTTTATTGGTTCTAAAAACGTTTAGAAAACGTTCAAAAAACGTCCAGTTGGAACGTTCCAAAAGACGTCCAAAACCTACCACAAATGGACGTCTTTAGAACGTTTTCACAAAACGTTTAGGAAACCAATTTGGAACCTTTTTAGAACGTTCAGAAAACGTCCGATTGTTAGTTGGGAGTAAGCTGAAACATGAAGTGTTTTGCTTCCTGCCATTTCAATATGACTCCACAGTATCTCACAGTCAGTCTTCAGTTCTTCCTCTCTTGTAACGATCAAATCAGTCTTGGTGGCAATATACCCTGCCATGTGGGTCATTTGGACGATCCCTACGTAGGATGGTGTATTGCTTATCGAGGAATACTCTATTGCTGTTGATGCCATCAGACAACCAGGACTCTGTACCAATGACTATGTTAGGCCTGTGTTGATGAACCAAGATGGAATATGGTTGCATCTTGGCACGATACTCTGGCAGTTCACATTGAGAAACCTTAGCACTCTCAGTCGAGGTTTGTGCTTAGACCGCCTTTGCTTGATGTTTTGGAGCGACGATGAGTAGGCGGGTAAACCAGGAAATGGTGGGTTTGATGAGTCACATGTGGGCCCACGTGCATTTGAGTTTTCCTCGCTGATGACATTTTGGACATCAGGATCAAGCACGCCAAACCTGTTGGTGTCTGGACGGAGTTGCAAGCTTGAGAGACAGGAATAAGACAAATTTTGAGCCCCAATGTTGGCTAAATATTTTTAATGTCAAAAACTAAATAAAATATTCATATTTCTAACAAAAGTTTTGTATTGAACCACTTGCCCAGTTACCTTATATCCCAAGAGTTCTCCCTCAAAAGTGCTTTCATCAATTGCGTCCCAGCTTACATTGATGGTCGTCCCAGAAGCTCTCTCTGCTTTCACTCCAGTGGGAGCTGTCTTGGGTGCTGCAGACCAAAATGAAGTGAACAAGAAAACTCTGAGCTTCATGGATGTTAAGCTGAAAAGAAAGTTTGCCTACCAAAAGAACTTGATCTATTCGGGGCACTGATGATGTAAGAAGACTCTAGGATATCTTTGGGATGGAATGGTTTGATTCATCGGAATTAATGGCTTGTTTGATGTCATTAGAATATAACTTTCTAAATCCAGTGATAACCTCTGAATAAGCAGTCATAAAAGTGGTGTTGATATGTCTGTGTCATTTGTAATTGTATTGGTTTTCCTGAAGTGTATTGTCCTATGCCAGTTAAAGTCAAGCTTTCGCCTTTTTTTCTTTTCTTTGCAACTTTCCAAAATCTTAAAATCTCTTCTCCCTCCCTCCCTCACTCCTTCTCCTCCTCTGCTCCTCCTCCTCCTCTCCTCCCCCTCCTCTAGCTCCTATTCCTCCTCCCTTCTACCTTCTTAGTCATCAACCCTCCCTCACCATTCTTACCATCATCTTCATTACGAGTTAAGTCTAGATACCTACCTTCTTGGTATGAATAGATGACTGCCCATTCACTGAAGGGACCTTCTCCCTCGCCGTTCCTTGCCTGTACCCGTACTCTGTATTGTGTGTAGAGATCAATGCCCAGTGTAGCTGTGTAGATGATAGCGTTGGGTTCCTCAAGGAGACCTATAGAGGACACCCGACTGTCGACCTTCTGCCATTCCACCTTGTAGGACACCGTTTCAGAGTTCCACTTGGATGTCGGGAATTTCTGAAAATAGCATCAAAAATTTATCTTATCTGAAGATCAAGGAGAGACTAGTACTCTTGTGCCATCATATTTTTATGGCTATGTAGCAATCTGAGCCTGTTACACAGAAAAAGCAAAGAAAGCAATCAGGATTGAAATTTGTTGCCTTTGTATGGAGCGCGTTTCAAAAAGCAGTTGTTTTTGGACACATGAAAAATAGGTGATCAATTGTCTTGGGTGACAAAGTGCAGAACGAATTAGGAATTGAAACTATACTGAAACTATACCACACAATTATTAATGTCTAGGAAAACCACTATCTGAAAGACACAACTCAGAATCAACCTAGAGTCCAAAATGAAACTCTCATCGATCATTTGTATCATTAGCAGGCTTCAAAATGCCCAAATTTTCATTTTTGAAATAAAGAGGAGCGCATCTGCCTGGCTAACATAACATATTCAAAATATATGACAATTAGCATAACTTAATTATGCAATTATTTGTCTTGGGAATTTAACTTGATTGTATTGTTATTATTATAACATGTAGAGGCACTTACATCCCATGTGATTCTAAGATCTCCAGTATTGCCACCGCCACCTCCAACATTCGATGGTGATGCAGTAGGAGCTAAAAGAGTCAAGGATCATAAGATAAAAGTTAACGTTCATAATCAAAGTTGAAAAATATAATTCATTGATTTTCAAATATGAAACAACTTATCCACTGAATGATATACAAATAACACACTGCCTGAAGAGACTGGAGTTAATTCTATAGGGTCTCAGTGTCTGATAATAGCCCATATGACATTGTACAATTAAGTGATAACAATGGGTACCCATAGATTATGTATAGATACAGATTTTAGTATACATGTACCTACTTTATCCTGGTCAAGCCTCAAGATAAAGTAAAATGATTATTTTGTTTAAAAGAGTTCTTCAATATTCAGGTGTTCAATGTAATGTGTGGGACATGACCAAAATAAAAACATGATATTAATAGAAAAAAATTATTGACTGCATCATGATTATCTATTTAATAAAGTAGTTCCGTTTAAGCCAATAAAGAAAATGTGACGGTCTGCTTTTCGAGGAAGCACTACGTCTTGGACTTACAAAGGCTTGATAGAGTCTGGTAATACCTCCTTAAAGCAAACTATTTATATAATGTATATACATACATTATGTATGAATCTTACCTGTTTTGCCAGTTTTGACATCTGCCTCTACAGGTTCGCTGGGTGTTCCCCGACCAATCCTATTGACAGCGATAACTCTGAAGGAATAAAGACTGAACGGATCCAAGTCTATCAGACGAACAGAGTTAGATCCAGTGCTTTCACCTGAAAAAATTACACAAATAAAGAATAACGCTATCACCTTTTATGATTGGATTTACAAATAATATGCCTTTATATACATTTAACATGACAAAAACTTCTTGTTTAAAATTGAAACCCCCATTTGACTTTCACTACTCCTAGAGCTAAGCCTAAAGTAAACAATATATACAATGTAATCCTCATGCCAAGACCTTGACGGGGTGATATAGAGGGAGAGAGGAAGGAAAAAAGAGTGCTAATTTTTACAATTCTAATTGTTGTTATATATCGCCAATTCTGGGTCATTTTGCTTCGTTCGAACTTTCATTATTTTCTTCATCTAAATCATAAGTGACTTTTGGACATGAAATATCTTAAAACAAGTAAAGTATATATATTTCCTACTTCTCATTTCCTTTCAGGCAGAGCCCCAGTAAGAGTTTGTTTACACTAGTATTACGTAAGATGATGAAGAGTCCAGCTGCAATCCAATATCATAATCTCTCACGCAGAGCCTCAAGGTTCTGTCCAAGTTTTTAACGAGAGAAACGAAAGTGGGGTCGGGATACCCCACCTTTACATTGGTGCCTGCATGTGTTATAGTGGTGAGGTATTGGTGGCTCTCTCAAAGTTTTAACGAGAGAAACGAAAGTGGGGTCAATTAAGATACCCCAGGTGATTTACATTGATTCCTGTGTTATAGTGGTGGGGTATAGTTTTAACGAGAGCTTTTCGTAATGCGCCTGTACAATTAATGCAAATGTGTTAGGGATTAGATACAAAGAATGATGTATCAATATATTATCATTACTGTGGTCTCTTTTTCTCTTCTAATCCCTATACTTTCTCTCTTTCATTGAAATGACATATAAAATAACAGTTAATTAAGAATAATTATTAGTAGTAGAGCACTTGCATAATATGATAGTCAATGTTATGTTATGTGTTTATTTTAAGTTTTATTGGTTAATTTTAAGTCAGACAATGGTGCGCTTAGAAACACCCATATTAATTAAGCGCCTAATACATGTTATGTATTATTATTATTATTATACTATATGTTTTATGAAATATTATGATTACATTTTTTAGAGTACAACTGCTGTATATGAATGTTGAAAAATATTCATATAAAAGAGAAAAGTAGTTGACAGATAATTGGGTAAGATATATAGAAATAGGAAGTACCCGGCGGTACTACAATACCCTAAAGTGCACTAGTGTTACAACAAAGATTTTTCTTTCACACAATATATGGATTACTATTTGCAGTTGAACATTATATTTGAGCATGATGAAAGAATTCTTTTTAGTTAAAGTATGCAGGAAAGAAATTAGCGGTAAAGTTTAACATCACAGTCGTCTCTCACAGGAAAAGCATTATGTTGTAAATGCAATAAGCAAATTAATACAGCATTAATATGTTCTATTCAGCCATTGATTGGTAACAATTTATACACATTATTGATTATTCTTCTAAAAGATGGTTGGAATATTGCATAAATATGCAAAGGAGTTAGTACGTAGTTATGCCAACAACGCGAGGGAGGACAGTGACACTGACCTGAGGGGAGTTCGACCCATTCGTCGCTATGATCCGTCTGTCCTTCGATGGTAAAGGATGTGATGGGGCTGTTGTTGTCTGTGCCTGGCACCCAGCTCAGGTTGGCAGCCAGGTTCTCAACCTCCACCGAGAGACCGGACGGGGGTCCAGGGGGTGCTACAAGGAGGAGAACCAACAGGTATCATGATCAAATGTGATGAACAAAAGCTAGTTCTATTGATGTCTACAATGGAATGATATATCGGTATATGTAATTTTAAACAAGAAATTTTCATGTAAAGTACAACTATTTTTGTGGAAAGAAATTGTAACTAATTGCATAAACTCTTTGTTGTGTCAATTGTCAATTGCAGTTATTGATAACTTGATCTCTACATTTAAATATGGCAGTGGATCACAAGAGCTAGATACTCTATCTAATGGGTGATTATAGCCAACTTAGTATTACAAGATTTTAAAGGAAACCCATCACCCCAAAGGTTCTCCCTAATGATATTAGAATAATACTAGTACGATTGTGCTACACGTGCTACATTTAAAAAAAGGTGCCTACTACATCAGAACAAGTTTTTAGTTATTTAGAAAAAAATTGACATTTTAAAATCAAAAGTCTAAGGAGACAGAGTGTTTTCATCTGCTTTTGTTTTCAAGGAAACTGGAAGTGCATCAATCACCTACAAAATAACGTGTGGAGATTGGGAATGTATCAAATCAACCCTTAAAAAAAAGCCTTGTACCTTGCAATATATTGGCTGATAGTTAGGTCTGAAGAAAATGAAGGACAACATTAGACCCTGTGCAAAGAACCCACGTTGGACTTAAAGATAAACTTTAGTACTGGTAATGCGATTGCATTGTGAAAGAAAAGGTGTGGAAAAGATCAGAAACAGTTGATCATGTAGTGTGTAAGTATTGGTGTGCACTGCAAGGTTCTGGAGTCATCAAAATCATAATGAATTTGACCGAGTCTTGGTAAAGTAACAAGCACTGTACACAGAAAGCTATGGGACAACACACATGGTGTCGGGGCTAGTACTACCTTGATTTCCTCCTCTTTCTTTGCTCATTACTCAGCCAGTATACATTTTCTTCCAAAATTGTTTGGCACATGTCATTTATTTGTAATCTTGAACATTCAGTGTAAGTTTCGTTTGATTCTGTGAGAATCAATTTTCTTTTTTTTTTACCAGAACTGGAGTTTAACTTTAATTGGTTACGTGCAGGTGATACTCAATGAGGGCACGTAAGCGTGCGTGACTAGTTTATTCACAAGCCACTAACATGTCAAATTGAGAGCGTATTTACACTTGCAAAATCTCTTCATCATTGTTTGGTTGGAGTTCTCCTTTCATGTATTCAATTCTGGGCCCTGTTTCATAAAACTTGTAATCAATAACAAATGCTAAATTTCCATGAAACATTTGTTCTCAGCCAATCTAATACTACAACTTCAGTAGCTTATAACTCAAACAGCTATTGTATCTTGTTATTGATATAAATGTTTATGGCACAAGGCCTTAATGATACAAGTTTACTGGATACTTTGATGAATGGGGGTGAGGAGAATGATATCTGGGGTACACACTGACCTGCAATGTCTAACGTAGCACTAGAACGGTCTGAATCAGCCACAGTCAGAGCAACGCAGGTGTATTCACCACCGTCCCGCAACTGAGCTGAGACAATCTCCAAGTTACCTCTGTCTCTCTCGGACTATTGAGGAAGAGAAGGAGGAAAATTATCAGGCCACAGAAAAAATTAAAAGAAGAAAATAGGTAACAGACAAATAAAATATATTTCAGAAGTAGAAGGAGGTAAAGAAAAAAATTGTAGATCCAAATCTTGTATTCAATACCATTCAAACTGTATATTAATCAATGACCCCATGGGTGTAAGAAAAGAACAATTAAAGTATATGTGGTGCGTTTAATTGACATGACTGTGTCAAGTGTAATGCTCAACCTTGCAGGAGTGCATTTGATTCAAACACTGACAATAAGAATTGACTTGTTGGATACTATAACCCCACCTATCTTGTATGCCCAAAATCTGATAAAAGACCTTATGACTTCAGTCAGATCTTTAGTTTTGCAGACACAGCTCTTGCTCATTAAGGAGTCTGGTTGTTAAGCCAATGTTAAGAAAACCTTTATTATAATTGTTACACATCACACGATAATTCTCTTATTCTGTCAGCGAACAACAAGCTGCTCAATGCGATGTCATTGCGGCACATTACGCGAGTGAAATGTGCCGAGTACAGCCTTAATACCATTCTGTATCTATCAATTTCACTGAGGTCGATTTCTACTCCATTGTGCTCCCATAGGTAGGTCAACGTTAAGGATTCATCATGAGCAGCTTTACAACGTAGGGTGGTAGACTGCCCAACCTCTACCAAGGTGTTATAAGGATGCCCTGTGATCACCGTCGAATCTATCAAAGAAATCAAGTTGAAGGCAGATTAGTTTGGATTAGATTGGATTTTAAATTATTGCTGTATACATTAAAATAATGTATATCGTCTCAGACATTTTGTACTGGTATGCAAGATTGCTGGGAGGAAGTGGTACTTCTTAATACAGATATCTTCTGAATGGTCATGTAAGGGTTAATCTGCAGTTGCTTCAAAATTTGATATATCAAATCCGTATAATGATATCAATACACAAACAATGCACTAGCTGACCTTTTATATCCAGACTTCCCTCGCCGGTCACTGTTCCATTTGAATTGGTGGCAGTGCACTGGTAAGTTCCACCATCGGACACCCGTACACCTATAATGACCAGGTTAGGAGGGTCAGCGGTCAAGTTGTAGCGGGCGCCGCCTGTGATGGGTTGACCATCGTGCTGCCATGTGACCGTCGGAGCGGGGGCAGCATCCACATCGCATAGCACAGTGACTGTAGCTGTGAGTGGGGCAGGCTGCTCTGTTTCCATTGGGCTCAGGAACATAGGCGGGAATGCTGACAGAGCCAATAATAAAAAGAAATGGAGAATTTTGACTGCTTCTACTCTGTCTATTTGTTCATTTCCACATCCATATTTTGTACATTGTGAAGAAAATAACTGGATGGAACTTCGACTGCGCGCAAAATATGCATAATATATATATGACCTAAGTTTGGAAAGAATCCATCAATTGGTTCTTGAAATAAAGCGATCACGAGGGACGGACGGACAACCCAAAAACATAATGCCTCCGGCTACTTCGTAACAGAGGCATAAAAATGATTGCTGGAGAATATGTTGAATGAATTTGACAACTACAGCTTAAACTGATTTCTAATTTAAAGTATCCCTCTTTCTCTCTCTCTCTCCCTTCCTCCTGTATACGTTTTAGCAGACTAAAACAGAATCGTTAAACTTTGTCTTCAGGTAATAAAAATTACTATTAACAGTTGTTCTTACCTCTTACGGACAGCTGTGCAGCAGAATAAATCATGCCATGATTGTTGCTTGCGAAGCACTGATACATGGCTGTATCCGTCGTTATCAGGTCGCTTATTATGAGTGTCTCGTGGTTGTTGCGGAACTGATGTCTGTCTCGAGCGGTCAACATTTCTCCATTGCGATACCAGGTGTACTGGGCAGCCTCCTCGGCCTCTACGTTCCATTCCTGCATGGTGTTGATGTCTTTCATGGCATCCAGTGGTTCGCTAACCCATGTTGGGGTTTCTACATGGTCAAAGGAAAGCAAAATAATGAATGATAAAAATGCTTATTAAACATTAAAAACTGAAAGAAACTATATGTTATCATATTCCCAGTAGGTGAAAAAAAATCATGGAAAAACCAAAGGCAGTACTAGCAAGTGTCGACATGTTGTCTAAAACGGCTTGAAGTTGTATAACATACATGTACAAGTCTGTTTTAAAACAGCTTTAAAAACACAGTCATATCTTCATATTACAGCATTGCTTATAGTTTTTTTTTTTTTAATTTCTTTGAACAATCTCAGTCAATTGTTTCTTAGATTTTTACAATAAAAATTTGACTAGCATTTGATGCATCTCTGAAACTCATGCAGCCTCTGCATTACTGCCATGTCTATCATATCTTGATGACTCACTGGTAGAGCTTTAGTCTTATAACCAGAAGGTCGCTAGTTCTCTTAAGTAATGATATGCTATAGTTCCCTATATACGCCACCTGTCTATAAAACATTTTCTCCCTGCAACACATTCTACAGGAAACTACCTGCTTTTGAATACCATTTTCTTGTATATCTAGAGCAGTCTTTATACACAGGTTTCACTGTACTTGCTTTTGTAGCGGTTATGTAAAGTAGATCTAATCAATTATCAACCTACCCGCGACATTGAGTCCTGCCGAAGCTCCACTGTTGACGTCATCGATGTAACAGAGGTAGGAACCTGCATCCTCCAGCTGCACGCCCACAATGCTTAAGATCTCACCCCCTTCCTCCAGCACAGCTCTACTGGTGGGCAACCCAGCACCAGGAGGTGAGGTACGTACCCACTGGACCCTGGGAATCTGACCCGTTGGTTGCCTGTCAAAGTCACAGATCAAGAAAGAAGGATGGGGAGGGAGTATTCAATTCAATTTTGAGTCATAAATACTGGCATTTCACTCAGTGTTGGGCTCAGATAAAATTTTGGTACACAGTGGTATTTAATTATTTATTGACCAAGTATGGTGTCTTAAATCTTTGAAAGCTAGCTAGCAGACTTGAGCTGATCATTTTGATAGCCTTGATTTGGCTGGCAGTATAATACACTTCTCATTAAATACCAGCTGCATACAAGCCAATCTTATATGTGCATACTTATACCAAAAAAAAAACATTCAAGTTTGCTTTTTTTCTCTCGGTATGGTTGCCTCCATAATGGTTTATAGAAAACAAATCAAAAAAGGAAGAGTAATGTATTTTCCACCATGTGGATGGAATACTTACGGGCCATAGAAGAAACATTCAAATTTGACGTCTTCTCCAGCAATAGTCATCACATCGGTAGGTCTGTTCTCTTGAACAATCCTGATAGCTGAACTCGAAGAACCTGCAACAACAAGAAAGGTCAAAGAGTTGAGTGTCCTGATTGATTGGGACTGGACATAGGGTATCACTTGAAGAACAAGGCCAGTATTTATAAGTGTGTATTTACTTTCAATAGTCTAGGTTTTAATGTGACTAAAGGTTCATTAAGACACGAATCAGTGAATCACAACAGTTTTTTTTTTATTTGTAAATGGATTGCAACTGGGTCCAACAAGTATTTCCTGAGCACTGTGTAATAAGATATATATGATATAAGATATATGTAATAGAGTCCCAACAGGAGCCAACAGAATAATGGAAGAAAAAAGAAATATGAACTAACTAGATGGAACTTCGCCTGCGCGCAGTCGAAAATAATGCCTCCGTCATAGACCAGTTTTACAAACCAAAACAGAAGAAATTTTTCAAATTCAAGTTCGATTGTAATCCATTAACAGGTTCTTGGAATATCGTGATTACAAGCTATTTCTCATATGACCCATTGATTTTTGACCTCATGACCCCAAAATCTACTCAGTTCATTGGCTCTGCAAGATACATACATGTACATGTCTTGAGTTTGATGGTAATCCATCCATCGGTTCTAATGATAATGCGATCACAATCTATTTTTGCATACATAATGAGCCCCATGACCTTTGACCTTGACCTCATGACTCAAAAATCTAATCAGTTCATTGCCTGAGCAAGATACATATATGTCCTGAGTTTCATGGTAATCTGTCAATCTGTTCTAAAGATAATGTGATCAGAAGCTATTTCTGCATACATAATGAGCCCTGTGACCTTTGACCTATGACCTTGTGACCCCAAAATCTAATGAATTAATTGGCTCTGCAAGATACATACATGACCTAAGTTTGGCAAGAATCCATCTATCAGTTCTTGTGATAATGCGATTATGAGCTATTTTAGCATACATAATGAGCCCTGTGACCTTTGACCTCGTAACCCCAAAATCTAGTCAATTCATTGGCTCTGCAAAATACATACATGACCTAAGTTTAGCAGGAATCCATCTATCAGTTCTTGAGATAACGCGATCACGAGGACGTAAGGACGGACAGACAACCCGAAAAACATAATGCCTCCGGTTACCGTAAATCTCTGTGTATAAGATGCACTTTTTGGCTGCCGAAAAAAAATGAAAGAGATTTACAGTACTTCGTAACGGAGGCATAAAAATTGCCATATTCATTGAAACAATAATGTAAAGAATAGTGGTTCATTCCCTTGACTATCAATCCAAGGGTTGAGGGTTCGAATCTCAGCCCGGCACAAACGTCCTTTGGCCCAACATTGATCCACATTTACCACTCTCCACCCAGGTAGGGCATTCGCAGGGGTACTGATAATTGCAGGTCTCTCAGGAAGAACAGCATTGAAGCTGATGAGGTTTCCCTGGGTAAACAAACTTATTATCATTATCATCATTAATTACCGGCATTGACTGTAACAGTGACCAATGGACTGACTCTCATGTGGACACCTCCCTCGGAGAGAACATTGCTCTTGACTTGACACCTGTATGCTCCTGCATCACTTGCCAAAGCGTAGAAGAAGCAGAGCCGGCCGTCATACATAACCCGGATGCGGCTATCGCTGGAGTCCACCAAGCTATTCTCATGGAACCAATTCACCAAGATACCTGCATGAAAGACGAGAGTGGCACACACAATAAGCACCATCTTAGCGTAAATCTAGGATTAGATATGTAAAATGTCACTACACATACCGTAACATATCCCTTTGGATGTATTCATCCATGTACACACAAACATAAAACAGAGTGTCACCCAGCAGTTTAGAGCAACTACCGTACTTATCCACTGTTACAATGATTATTCCTTTTTTTTTCTACAACATTTTCCAATTTGCCAAAAAAGTGATAAGAACAATTCCAAATATTTTTTTTTTTTACTGTTTGAAGTTTTTAACTGACATATCAAAGAAATAGAGTGATAAGTTTCACACTGACTTCCCAGTGAAATATCTCACAAAATGCAGCCGAAAACTCTCCATACTATTTATATATATTATTCAACCAATGCACTACTGGGTCAAAACCACTAAATCGGCACATTTGAAAGAAATGAATTTCAGAAAAATAAAGTTTCAGTAACAAAATTCTTTTTATTGTAATATGAAATGTTGAGTAACAAATTTACAAACTCTAAGAGATGAGCGTTTAACATTGCTCGGAAAGAACGTGACGTATTTTTGAAATTTTCAAAAGGTGCAAAATACGTTGTGTAACATACGTTACCACAATGTTAGACACTTGGAAAGAAAATACATATACTTATTTATACTTTTCGGTCACTGTTTGCTCATGAATACAGTTAAGTAGTCTAGTAAAGAGACCAAAATAGTTTGATCAGAAAATCTAATGGGGTTCACGGTATTTTCCCACAAAATACTAACTTACTTCTTCTGAATGCTGAATCAATACCTAAAAGTATAATCATATCTTTTTCGATAGGTACTAATCACATTTCGATGACACAAATTTTCTTCAAACTTTATATCATTTTCATATGGAAAAGTGATACTGGAAAATAAAATACGATTACCAGCTGAATAAACATTGGTAACGTGTGTTACACTGAAGAGTAACGTATGTTACCCAATGCATTAAATGTTACAATTAGGTCAGAATGATGAAACCATTGACTCGTATAGATTAAAACAATGCATAGATTGGTCATTTTTGCTATCAAACGCAAGGAAGGGGTTGTTCTTATCGAATTTCCCCTTAAGTTTGAGTCAGTGTCTATCTGTTGTTTGAAATATTCATTTGCAAATATCAAGGGAAGTCATTTTAATTTACAATGAAAACACATTCCTCGTAAACAGTCTTCCTTGTTAGTGCACATATTGTATATAATCCTTACATTCATGTACCATCTAAAAGTTAAAAGGGCCGGGGCAAGATATATCAGAGGGGTGTAAGGAGCATATTGAAATGTGCAAATGTCAGTCTGCAGCTGTTTTATGTCTGAGAAATAGACACTCTGAATTTCTCTTCGATCATGGCCCTTTGCTGATCAGAGAGTACATACATCCGAATCGAATCGCGTTCAGGAGGGTCTATGGCACAGAGAACTTTCCCCTTCGCTATCCAGATCAGGTCTCTCCGTATTGGCCAGTTGTATGTGTATGTAAGTCGAGGGCCTTTACATTCAGTGAGGAAGTTAACATGAACTTCTTTTTTATCGGATTCCAACCAAAGTACCACTTTTGGTCATACACGGCGGCAACCCAGTCATCTGTATCATAATTAGGTAGAACTGGAGTGCTCGTAGATGGCACGTTCAATGGCTCCTCTGCATTAGCTAATTGCACTCCAACATTATCCTTCTCGGGTGCGTCAGATTTCTCTGTATGTAGCTCTACTCGTCACACTCACAAAACGGCGAAGTTGCCATCCATCACACATCTGTTTGGTTTGTATGGTTTCACCAGGGTTTACTTCACGGCAGTTAGTGCAGTAACAGGATACGTTTCGTACGAGAACACCTTTATCTTGACCAATGACAGCATGTACTTGCAGAGTTCCTGGAAAGGACTTTACAGATCCCCACTTTTGTACACTGAAATCGCTGCTTGAGGAACACTCTTCCTTGGTCACGAAGAAATATTCAATCTTTGAATCGCTTTCACAACCATGCTCTTGGGTGGCCCGGCCGGCCATGCAAAGAAATCCTTTGTGTCTTGTATTACAGCTTTGCGTATGACAGCATTGTCGGCCATGCACTTGACGGTACCGCCAATACCATCGCATGGCCCCTTTCCATGACCAGCTTCAAAAAAATTCCACTGGGCACTGATTCCAGGGAATACCTCGGTGTGGTCCCTACAAGAGAAAACATTCGTCTTATTCCTGTACTGAGACGTGGGGCCATCAGTCCAGTAGTGTATCTTGGATAGATTGGGAATCAATTCCTTGAGTCTGGGAATCACTTGCTTCAGGATGGCAATGACTGTCGACGAGTTATGCCCCTTTTCGTCAGAGACGGCAACATAGCTTTTGTGAATGAGCTTGCCGCTTTCGGCACGGAAGTATGCTACAATGGGATGGATTGTTACACTATCCTGCGCCCAGTAGCACTTTAGACCTCTTCTAGAGGAACACAGGTGTAGTTTTCTGCAAAGTCCATCTGTAGCACACATTCTCCAAGAGGCAAACTTTGTTTGCATTTCAATACAGCTTCAAATTGTTTCTTGATGCGGAAGACATGTCCTCGAAATTCCTGGATACTGGTTTTCGAACGAGCGATAAACTCTTGCTTCGTCAGTGACACACTGATGAGTTTAATCTTCTTTCTCCCATCAGTCTCGACTCTGGCCCATTCTTCGAACTGAACCAGATCAGGCTGTAAACTAGAGAGGAGATCATCTACCTCATCACAAGTGTAGCGTTTTATAAAATCATCTGGGTTTTCGTCTACAGGCAAACCCAATGATTTCATAGCTTTCAGCTTCAAGGACATGTTTGATTTGATTTTGACTTGATATGGTTTATTGATTAAAAAACATTCAAATAGCAGCCAGAGGCTGAAACAAATTGAATTTACAAAAGATATATTCAAAAGCATAACATATACATATAAATGGCGATTCACAATAAATAATCAAGGATATGATCAAAGAAAAGAAGAGAAACAAGAGAAGAGATTGAAACGGATGACTAGAGGATAATTGAAGGAGAACGATCGAGTAACAGAAGGCAATAAGACAAATGTAACAGAAGATTAGAAGGACTGGTAAGATAGTAACAGAGAGGGGAGAGAAAGAGAGGGCATAGAGAAATGAGAAAGAGAAGCTGGCAAAGAGACTACGCAATAAAAGGGACAGATAAAGAGTAGGACAGATAAATAGGCTGAAATGGAGAACTAGATATATAATCGGATAAAGTGTAATAAACTATGATAAAAATATCATGCCTTTGGTATAAGCAAAGGTTCCTGGACAAGAATTGAACAGGCTAGATGTGAGAGCATCGGGATTGGAGAACACGTTGAAATGCAGACGAAAATACCCTGCGTCTCTCTTGGTTTTCAGTAACGTATTTTGTATGGAGATTGGCAATGTAATCGCAAAGGAACTTCTTCTGTTTTTTGCTTCCATTGTCATCTGTCTTACAACAGTCCTTCTTGCCAGGGCACATGCGTGAGTTGTCTTCCCTCTCCAGGAAAACTACAACTTCTTCGTGGAGAGAAGACCAAGAACGCCTGACATGTCTATGTTGACTGCTCATCTTTGGGTTTGCCTTTGACAGGTTTCGTCTTCCTAGGCCAGTTCCTTTTTGCACCATCCGTAGCAGGCGGTATTTACCAACACTTTTGATCCTGCTACAATGTTATGTATGGTTGACCTCGAGGATTGTTTTGTTGTAGAACTGGCTGCATTATGAATCTCCTGGATCACGGCATTGAAGAAAAGTAAGTTTCTTTTTATTACTGCTGGGACAGACTTGGGGTCCAAACCGGATCGTTTGAGCTGGATGTTTGTCTTGGTGCGGGGTACCCTTTGGTACCTTCTCTGCACCTTTCATTTTTCCTTGGTTGCTGCCTGGAGCTTAAGTGTAAGATCCTCGATTCTCTGATGGGCATTACTTAAACATCTGCTGGCACACTTTCTTCTCGCTTTGATCTTGAATGGCAGCTTGACTGTAAGCAGAGCATGGGGGGCAGCTGTGTAAGATACATCGGACAATGCAGAGTCTTGCATTGTATCACTATCCATCCTTTCATTGTCAAGGTTAGAGTTTTCCTGCCATCGTTCATTCAACATGTCTTGCCTTACTTTCTTGACCCTCACTCTGTGCTTTCGTACTCTTAGAGTTCACTTGAACCCTTCTTGCTTCTACCCTCTTCTTAGATAAATTATCAACTGGGATGTAGTATTTCTTTTGCCTCCCCCTCTCTGCTCGGAGAAAAGCAGCATCTCCAATTTTCTGTCGTTTCCGCTGCCGGTAAGCGGCCTGAATCTCGGCCCATGTCTTGGCCATTCCTGTAAATATTAAGTGAAAGGTGAAAGTTTAAGAATATATTGTGAATGTTAACTTTCTTTGTCAGGACAGACTGACCTATCAGATGATTATGACTTACATTGCACGATACTTTTACATGCAACATACGTTACCATTAATAGTAACATACGTTACCAAAACTTTCCTTAGTTTCTTTGGTAGTTATCTATAAAAAAAAATAAGAATTCAATTCAGCAAACACCAGCCACAAATCTATCTCTCTAATTGTGGGAATCCTAGCGCAGCATGTTCATTTTTTCTGAACTATTTTCTTTCAAGTTTAGATGCATTAAGATTGCATTCTCATTTACATAAGTTAGTGAATAATCAATTTCGGTTAACCCATTGATCAAGAATGAAACATATCCTTATGATTCGTTATTTACCTTTTATTGATTTGAGAAGTATCTTTCTAAAATTTAATTGCAAATAAATTGTTAATCTGGTTTCTAAAATATGCAAAATATCATGCTTATGTATAGGTCATGTGAATATGGAAACCTACGTTACCATCACTTGAAACATACGTTACTATAACATGCTGAGTTACAGCTCTCAAAATGATAATTTGATTGCTTAAGTTTACAAATAATGAAACTTATTTCTAGAAAACTACATAAATAATAGATTATTCATAGACTGATAGCGGAATATTCATGAAAATATATAATATGAATATAAATAGGATAAGCTAGTACTCACCTATATACTTTTAAAACATCTTGATCTTGGAAATCATGCCCGGCACATGTCTTCATACAGATGCGATATGGTTGTTAAGGTTTCTTCCTGTTGCCGTAGTTGGCGTGACAAGTTTATAATCGGAAACGGTAGATATGCAACAGGAAAAAGTGTGTTTACCAAGCAAACCAGATGAATGTGCAAAAGTGGTAACGTATGTTTCATAACGTATGTTACGAAATATTTATTTATTGTCATATATTTCAAACTTAAAGTGATTATTTTGTCTTGTTTCTCTATTGGTTACATTAAGTATTGCAATACCTAAAATAAATTAGAGGCTCAATGAGCACAAATCATGGTTACGTATGTTTCATTCCTTAAAAACACATTTCCATTGGCTAGAAATTTTAGTTTGTGGCAGAAATGTTTTAAATTGACTATCGCTGATGTAAATGTTATAAGTTTTCATACATATAATAAAACCAAAAAAGGTTGATTCGATGGCATATATGATTGTTCTTCCCCATAGCACATTATCATAAAAAATGGTAACGTATGTTACAGGTAATCTGGGACAAATTTCATCTGCTGAAAAACACAATTCAAAACAAAAACAAGCCAATCTTTCTATCATATCTTGTATGAACATTAGAAATTTTATATATAAAGGAAGTTTTCAGAAATATATCTACTGAATATTTGATGCAATACACTAAAATGACAAGATTTTTTTTTTGAGCGACAAGGTTTTTTTTTTAACACTTTGCCCCCATCATGGAGCAATTATTTTTTTCGGGGCCTTTATTCACCGGTAAACTTGTTTTTATTTTTATCGGTAAATGCCACAGGATAGTTGGGATTAAAAAATTCTGTTCTGCAACTTTTATATTTGTCAGAATATGAGCAGAATCATCGGCGACATCAAAATTGCAGAATTGCGCCAAAATAGTGGGTTTGACCCTTCTGGCTCCAGGTTATATCACTCAATAATACATGATACATGTATAAAAACAGTAGACTGCAATTATGGAAGACTAATTTAACTACCGTATGAGCCATCAAATTACATACTACATCTGAGTTTCAATGATGACAGCACTCGATCGATTCACCATTAATACATACATGCCTAGCATGGCTCACGTGTTGAACCCCCGAGCCAGGTGGCTGTGTATAAACACGGTAACGCAGTATATAAAGCGCTCTAACCTCTACGCACACTACTGCGCATTATGTACATGCACTAAAAAGATAGTCTCAGTAAATGAATCACATGTGACCGCGCATGACCAATCATTTGATTAGGATCTAGGAGTGAGTTGTATAACTAGATGGAACTTCGACTGCACACAGTCGAAAATGATGCCTCCGCCAAAGAGCAATTTTACAAACCAAAACAGAAACAATTATTTTAATTTCAAGTTTGATTGTAATCCATCTGTGCATGGTTTTAAGGATAATGCATTCACAAACTATTTATAGGCATTCATAATGAGCCACATGACCTTTGACCTGATGACCATAAAATCTAATCAGTTCATTGGCTCTGCAGGATACATATACATGTCTTGAGTTTGATAGTAAACTGTCTATTGGTTCTCATGATTATGCGATCACAAGCTATTTGTGCATACATAATGAGCCCTGTGACCTTTGACTTCGTGACCCCAGAAATCTAATCAGTTCATGGCTCAGCAAGTTACATACATGACAGTTTGACAGCTAGGAATCCATCAATTGGTTCTTGAGATAAAGCGATCACGAGAACGGGACGTACATGTATGGACGGACAACCCAAAACATAATGCCTCCGGCTACTTTGTAGCGCATAAAAACAACTAATGTACAAATTCTACATCAATCTTAATGCAATCAACATTTCTGTTTTTACACTCTTGAATCAAATTAAGAGAGGGAAATGTTTGAGGGCTACAGTTTCCTGTGTGTTGCATTCAATTCAGTGAATTCATTAGTCCATGCAAGTGCATAGATAAGTAAAGTGGAGAGAAGCACACCAAATTTCGTTTTATATCATTAGCATTCAGCAAAGCAAAGCTTTCCTATGAATCCAAGCAATTCTATTGAAGGCATACTGAATTTCATTATCTTTTTAGCTCTTTAAATCAAGTTAATTGTTTTATTTCTCATCACAAGCATCCACCTTTGTGTTAAATCATACTCGAGAGGGATACAAAATATCACTGTGGTTTATTATTTTCAGAGCCAACAAAACTGTTCATCTTGACAAGAAATCTTTAAATCAATAATGAAAAGTATTTAGATGATCTACAGGGAAAAGTTGTTGTTTTTTTAAGAAGAAGGAAAGAAAGAAAGATTACTACAGTCAAACCTGTCTATAGCGACCGCCTAAGGGAAACGCAAATAGTGGTCTTTGTAGACAGGTTCCTTTAGTACATGTTTCAATGAGAAACCATTTTCAAGGGAAACAAAAAATGTGGTCCTTGTAGACAGGTGGTCTTTGTAGACAGGTGGTCACTAAAGCAGGTTTGACTGTACCACGGCCAAGCTCTATGTAGCTAATGACATTTTAACTCCAATATATTTCTGAGAGATTAGAGTTCATATACCTTACAATAGTTCAAATAAAAGATTGTGATTATAATGAACACAAAACAATTTTTTTTTTAAAGAAACAATCAAATAAATAGCTACATATATATCTTTGAAAAATAAAAATAAATATAGCAAATATTGTGGTATGCTTGGAATAAAGAAAACAATGTAAAGCTTTATGTACTATCAAACATTCTATAATACCCTCACAAATTCTTAAAAAGCATTTGTATTTTCTTACATATAGAAATAATTATTGTTACTATTTTAGTTTTAAGAAGATGACACAGTATAGAAATCATCAACAAGAGAGAAAGATAAAAAGAGGGAAAGAGAAAGAAAGAGAGACAAAAGAAAGAGAGAAAGAGAAAGAGAGAGGGGGAGAAAGAGGGTGCAAGGGGAGGGGAGGGGAACATAAAGATCGTTGAAAGAGAAAAGAAGAGGGAAGGGAAAGAGAAGAGAAAAGAGAAGGATATATAAAGGAGCACAGAAAGAGAAAGGGAATGGGGGAGAGAAACTGAAATACAGAAACTGAAAGAGAGAAGAGATAGTTGGATGGATGAATGGATGGATGGAGAGGGAAAGAGAGAGAGTTGGAGAAGATATTTAAAGAGAGGGAGGAAGAGTTTGTGAGAGGGGAGATAGTAGATAGATTCTGGACATGGTTAATTGATGGTGTGTTAAGACTGACCTGGGTAATGTGGAGGCGGGTTACAGGTTACACAGCCCCCCTGCCCTGCAGTCAGTGACTGAGTTGATGTAGCACTTGGGTCAAATAAATCAACATCTGCAACAACAACAAACAATGATAAACACATAACTTATGCAGGCGTGGATCCAGGATTTTCTAATAGGGGAGGCCGGAATTTGTTTTCAACTCGACTTGCCAATACTGACAAGGTCATATTAGAAGCACCATACCAGTACCTACAAGCAGGGGCGTCGCTAGGCCTTTTTCATTGGGGGGGGGGGGGGGGGTGTAGAGGCCACCGATTACCGAAAAAAGAAGCCACCAATTACAAACAAAATATATTAATGCCAAAGTCCAAATGTCTACAAATTTAACCCTATAAACCTGTGGCCAAGAGTTTAATTATTTTTCAGTTCCCCCCCCCCCTTATGCGCAAAGCGTGGAAGCTTTGACATTTCATTAAACTATTAGAGAAAGAAGACGATTCGTTGTACCGTTCCCGACTCTTAATTCTTGTCTGAATTCAGTTTCCGGCCTTTTCACGTTTCATTTAATTATATTAGAGAAAGAAGACGATTCGTAGTACCATTCTCGACTCTTAATCCTTGTCTGAATTCAGTTCCCCCCCCCCCTCCCCTCCCACGCGAAGTGCGATAGCTTCGACGTTTTATCAACTTATTAGAAAAAGAAGACAATTCGTTGTACCGTTCTCAGCTCTTAATCCTTGTCTGAATTCAGTTCCCTCCACCCCCCCCCCCCCATCCGCCAGAAGCACAGAAGTTTTGACGATTCATTAAATCATTGGAGAAAGAAAGCGATGCGTTGTACTGTTTTCAACTCTTAATCCTTGTCTAAATTCCGTTGTTTCCTCCAGCGCGAAACACGGAAGCTTTGACGTTTTATCAAATTATTAAAAAAGAAGACGATTCGTTGTAACGTTCTCGCCTCTTAATCCTTGTCTGAATTCAGGTACCCCTCCCCCTCTTGTGCGAAGCATGTAAGCTTCGACGTTTCATCACATAATTACTCTTAATCCTTGTCTGAATTCAGTTTCCCCCTCCCGCGCAAAGCGTGGAAGCATTGATGTTTCATTAAATTATTAGAGAAAGAAAAGGATTCGTTGTACCATTCTCGACTCTCAATCCTTGTCTGAATTCAGTTTTTCCCCGCCCGCGCAAAACGCAGAAGATTTGACCTTTCATTAATTATTAGGGACAGGAGACGATTTGTTGTACCATTCTCGAAAGTTTAGGGTTAGAGTTAGGGTTAAATCAAGACCTCTTTTTAAAAAAAAGCCCCAATCTGTGCCGCAGAAAAAAATGACGCAGCCGGGAGCGTCATATCATAGTTTTGTGTGATTGGGTGAGGGGGCGTACCGACCAAGCGAGATTTTGCAATGTTGTATGCTGAAATTATGCATTCTAGAAAATCATTAAGCCCAATATGTACGTTCTTTCCGCTATATTTCTTTCTAGCTATATTTTTTAATTTCCTGGGGGACGTGTCCCCCTATCGGGCCCAGGATTGCTGCCCCTGTCCATGATTACTACCAACGTGAGTTCAAATACAAGCACAAGCGAGTTGGTATGAGCTGAAGCCAAAAGAAGGGCAAAATAAGAGTTGTGAAGTAGCCCCTTAACCGTTTATTTAAAATTTGACTGTTCAGTATAATTATAGCTTCTATTCAAAAGACATCCAAAATGTTGTGCCCTTTTCAAATTTCTCACTAAAAAGTGATGACCTTTGTAGCACGTCAGGGGATGTTTTTAACGTTTAACTTTGAATCCGCAGCTCAAGATTTTATGCAGCCAGCCCCCTCTATTCAATAACGTTTCCCAAGCCCTCTGGAATGACCCCAAACCTCCCAATTACATTTTCCCCCTTTTTTGTCGTTACTGTCACTTAGCACCATTTCCTTGTCTTCCCCCCTTCTCATCCGACTTTTCTCTCCCCCACCCACTCAGTGTTATCTAGGGTACGGGCAGGGGTGGATCTAGGAGAGTTCAGCGGTTTAACCCCACCCCCCCCCCCCCCCCTTGGGCGGCCAAGTGGGAAAAAAAGGGAAAACAGAAGGGGAAAAAAAAGAAGAAAAAAGTAAACAGTAAAACGACGCAAAATTTTGAAAATCCTGGGTCCGCCACTTGGTCAACCCCCCCTCCCCTTGGCAAAAAGCTAGATTCGCCCCTGACGCGCATGCATGTTCCCTCTCTTTGAAAGCACCCCTCTATCTCTGGTGTGTAAAGTCAGTACGGGCCGGATTTTTGTGTATTACGGGCCGGACTTCATTGCGTGAAAAATACCCCTTTACCGGAGATTTTGGGAACACAAATTCAGTCCCCCCTCCACCCGTCCTCGGAGTGGGAGGGAGGGGGTGGGAGGGTGGGCTTTCTTCTTTTTCTTTTCTCCTTTTTTTCTCTTCTTTTCTTTTTTCTTTTTTTCCTTCCCTTTTTTTTGCGCCGCCAATACTCCGTGGCCGTTTCGGCCCCCCTGGATCCGCCACTGTTATGTTGTATGAATATATTTCTAATTGTAAATATCTTCTTATATCTCTTGAGGCAGCAGAATCTTAAAACAGAACAAAAACTTATCCATATCATTGTATATACACAATCCATTAATAAATGGAATCTCTGGGGGTCATGAAAAAAACAAAAAACATGTGCCAAGCCCAATCAGAGAGTGAGAGAGAGAGAGAGATAGAAAACACCTGGCAGTTAATAAATTATATATATACAGTCAATAATCAGAATTCTAAATACTAAATTCTACAAAAACAAGTTCCAAGTCTTTAACTCCTATCTTCGAGAACACTTACAGGCAAAGACGAGCTCAGCCGGCAAACTTCTCACTGACCCCACCCGGTTGGAGGCCATGCACACGTACTCCCCGCCGTCTACTGTTCTCTCTGGGCTAGTGATGGTCAGTTGCCCAGGTGTGATGACCAGTCGAGCGTTAGTTGCCAGAGAGAGTGGAGCACCATCCTTAGTCCACGTGTAGGTGATTGGTTCATCACCGGTAGCACGACAGTGGAAGGAGACTGAAACAACATTGGATGCCGTATCAAAGATGGTTTCCTCTGGTTGCTGCATAAGGATAGGTCCCGTTTCTAGAGGGGAAAAAAGTTCAAAATTCTTTGTACCGTAGTTGTGTTCAACATCAGTTTGAATGTTTAAATTGTTCTTCAGCAAAGTACACTTTTATTGGTTAAAGAAATGGAAAGTATACATAAATTCAATCCATTACTTGTCCAACTTTTATAAAGCAGGTCTGGACAGTGTTATGTTCTTATGACAAACTAAACATCTCCTTAAACGCATCACTGGTTTTAGTTGATAGTTATGCTCATGCACTCAGTAATACAATTTGGTTGAGAGTTCAGGTTTTAATACAGATAATTAGATTGCTGGAAAATTAGAAAGTTACTCACCTGCGTGTACAGCAGCGCCAAAGAGGGCGACACAACTCAAAACGATCTTGTAAAACATTTTCACCCTCCTAAGCTGTGTATTTGATGAATCTTGTGATGATTTCAAGCTTTGTAAAGAGAGAAAACAGAAATCTAGTTAACAATACATTAGAGCAGGCCTTCTCAACTGGCGGCGCACGCGCCACTTGTGGCGCTTGGAGTCAGTCGGAGTGGCACGCGGCTGTTCCAAAAAATTAAAAATTAAAAAAAAAAAAAAAATTATTTTAAAATTTAAAAACTCACCAAAATCAAAAAGTCGCAGTCGAAGTTGAGCCCAAAATGTAAGCAAGCCATTTTGTTTTTATTGATTTTCACTTGATTTTGACAATTTCTGTGTTTATTGCACCAAAATAACTACATATAAATCAACTTCCATTGTAGATTTTAGCCAGGAACTGTACTAATTATTTCACATTAATATGAAATTATGATTGATGTTTTATGGAACAAAATGGTGTTGAAAATGCCACATCTGGGCCTTAAAAAAACCCTAAAATCCACTAGCTTCTGGGGTTTCGCCCCCTGGACCCCAACCGGTAATGGCTTGGTTGCTACGCTCCCTCGCAACACAGTTACCAAACATACAGGTTGGCACTTCAACCTCAATAAACAAAAAAATTGGCATTTCTAATAAACTTGTTGAGAAGACCTGCATTAGAGGATCTGGAAATATATTAGATCTGAATAGTCAGATAAAAAAAATCAACAAGCATACACACACAGATCCAAAACTTCAATACTTCTGCAAAAAACAATTCCAAGAAACTAAATAGTTATTGTATTACTGCTGGGTTATTTTGAAAAACTTATTAAAATATTACATTCCTCACATAAATAAAGAACAATAGCATTAAACAACCATCCACACATCATATAATTTACACAGCAGTTGAAAATCCTATTTCAGCCTGGATGAAAAATAGAACTGCTTGTTAAATGGAGAGAGTGCTGATGCAAGTGTTTTCAGGTCATCATTCAGCCACCCAAGATGTGAGATATTATTGGGATATAAAAAAAAGAGCCTGATAGATCAGAACTGGGAATGATTGCTATTACGGCACTCGTCTGCAGAAAATATGAGCGATCGGATAGATGCAGTAGGCTCTGTAGAAGCAGATACATGTATGGTCATACTAAATCAAACTATTAATGGTCCGTTTCCATCATGGAATATACCTCCTGCAGAGAGCCAGAAAATTGATCTTATTTTTCTTTTTTCAATTTCATATCATTTGGTTTTATACAATGTGAATGATGAAAATAAAAGGGCCAAATATTGGAAATGTTTTGCCTCTTCTGTGAAGAGCAGTCAGTGCTAATATAGTGTTCTGATATATCTTCCCTAATAAGTATATGAATTGTAAAAACTAAGATACTAATGAATCTAAGGTGCAATAATTATTTATTATTGCATGGCTTTGAGTATGATACAAGAATATATTGTTCGGGCTATGACAATATTGGACGAGTCAGAGACAAGTCCAATATTGTCATAGCGAGAGCAATATATTCTTATATCACATGAAAACAAGGCCATATAATATTATTATTATAATCTTTATCAGGCTGAACTAGCGAAATCACAAAATATGACTTACCTCTGTAAATATGGCTTTGTTTTCATGTGATATTGATATCGATAGTTGAAGTTCCTGGATGACTTAGGAATACGAAAACAATATTCATCAGTCATCCTATACTGCGCTAAAGATATTAAATACACTGATTTATTGTACTGCTTGGAAGCCTTATATAGATAATAATATATATTATCTCTCTGAAAATGAATAAGATGAATTAGTGATATTCATCATATTAATTATCTCTGCACTATACCAGCTTCTACACATTAAAAATATTTAATATTACCTCCTACTATCAATCCTTCAGCATAGAGCTCAAATCAACAAGAAAACATGAGATACCATGACTAATATTCTACTCTCTGTCCCCAGAAAGAAGATGAGAAATAAAAAGGCAAAGCACCTCACTAATTGCAATATGATCTGCCTTGAATTGACACAATGAAGATCATGTGTAAGATGAGAAGTGTAAGATGAGAAGTCTTTACTCAAGGTCTAGAAAAAGACCCACCATCTCTTTTTGGAGTTTGGCATAATTAGAAGCACCGAATATGAGCTGATAGATAGCATGGAACACCTGCATTACAAACTTGGCTGGGTGGTGTTTAAGTGATACTTGAAATTAATACAACAATAGAACAATAGCTGCTGGCAGGGAAATGTACAAGGCCATGACATTGCTTCATGCCTTGAATGAAACTAACAAACATGTAAATGATGATGAGTTACTTCCTCATTAGGCGGTGTCACACAGAAAAATCCCTTAAAAAATCCCTTGAAAAATCCTTTCAAGGGTGAATTTTCCTGCTTCGTTATAGGATTTTTAATAGGATAATTGATGACAGACAGCAATTAAGAGGTTAACTAAAATTCAGATTTTTTGCCTCTGTGTGACACCGCCGAATGTTAAATTTAAGTGCCACGTTTGAATGACATGACTACCAGTAATACCGTTTTCACACCTGTTTTTTTTTTTTGGGGGGGGGGGGGCGGGGGGGCTAAGAAGGTTTTAGCGCTGCAAGTTCCCGGGCTATCTTTCTTGTTTACACCTCTTTTTTCGAAGTGAGTTAGCTCCGCAAGCTCCCGGGCTAAGCTGGTCCTGCTCCCAAGTAGGGTTAGCGCAGCAATTGCGGCGCTAGCGGCGCTTAACCCCCCCAATTGCCGTGCTCACCTGTCAGGTGTGAAAGCATGAGCCGTTAGCCCAGGATATCTTTTGAACGATGGTGCACGCATGAATATTCAAGAATACCAACCATCACCCATGACAACAGCGAGGATCGGAGCGCGTGTTTTTTTGCAGTTGCATGCAGGTGTTCGCAACTTTGAAAATCTCTTCCTTCTGTTGTTTTAAAAGCTATATGTCTCCGACGATGATTCTTTCTCAAAAGAAAATGGCAAGCACAAAAACCATTTTATCCTTTTGAATCCTGTGGCGCCACATTTTGAAGAATGAAGTCGACTGTCAACTTCCGGTTGTGGAGTTGTAGAACTGCACTGCGCGTGCGCACAGGCAAGGTCATGTCCATCTTCTGAATATTCCGATAGTTCTAAGTTCGGGCTAAGGATAGCCCAGGTTATCTGAACCATGTGTGAAAACGGTACTAAGCTTTAAGTGTACCTTTCAATCACATGATCTAAGCTTTCAAAGACATGCGAAATGGACATAGAGAATATAGTTTTTATAGATCTACTTTTAGTATTAATCCTGAAATATGAAGTTCAGTTCACTATTGCTAGTTCCATGCTCCCACAATATCAAATGAACTTGTTTTTGAGCATGACTGGTTATCTGATTTGGTTATGAATACTTCTGGCTGTTAATGATACACATTCACATCTACCCGAGATTACACTGAACACCAGGGTGTTACTGAAGGTGTACAGAATGTTGTCCTGCCACGATACTTGGAAAGTGGAAAGTACCTGAGAGTGCTATATGCAGTGACATGGTACATGTATTCAAGGTCATACATGTACATCATGGGACTGGGTAAAAAAAAATTCATTTACTGTACCACTTTCTTCTGACCCACCTGACACACTTTAATCTGACTTTTTCCCATTCATTTTCTACAGAGGAGTTTTCATAAGACAGATTCTGCGATTGGATTTTTTGTTAGTGAACATTCATGACATTACCGGTATGCAAATTATCAAGATCGCACAATTCACGAGCGTGGTCATCTTTTCTTTGTGTCAAAAATATGACCAAAAGTTCCTGAAAATGACACTTTGAGTGAATTTTGTTTAATGCGTCAACAACTTTGTGATTTCTGAGGTATGCATGTTGATTTGATAATATTGAAATGTTATGAAGCTGACGTATACTTTATCTCAGGACCATGTTTTGAGGGAACAACAGGGTTGATTTTTCCAAAAAAATAAGCGAAGGTGATCATAGGTATTACATGTACATGTATGTTACTGCAAGACTGTTAGCCACAGCAAATTGAAGAACAAAACTATCTGTGTCTGCATAGGAATAGGACTAGATTTTCAAAGCAGTGATTTTTGGGCAATCATTGAAATTCCTAATTTTCAGGCAAATTTTGGATTAGATCTAGAGGAAACCTGTAACTATACATTGGTACCAAATCATTATAAGCATTGTACTCCTTATTAAAATTTCTTAAGGGGGTGTGGCACCTCTTTTTCAAAGGCTAGACCTATTCCTTATGCCCAGTTAGAAGTAGTAGAGAAGGAGCTGGATAGGCTAGAAAAAGCAGGGGTGATCAAGAAAGTGAAGAATAGTAGACGGGCGGCCCAGTCTACACATCTAGTTCAGATAGCCGAGCCTGCCCAAACAGTTGATCTTGTGTAAAGCATCTTGGATACTATGCTTGTCTCCACGTTTGTGTATGCCTTAGTTTTGCCTTTAGGTTCACCTTGCACTCCAACCAGAATGCATAACATTCCCCAGGATGAATGCCAAGCAATGAAAAACCTAGATAACTTCTCCCACTATACTCACTATTAGATTCTGACCCCACCAACAAATTCTCTCAACAGATTATGAAATTGGAGAAAATTGCACAACTACTTTCACATTGTTTTTATTGGGCAAGTAAATTGTTTTGGGGGCAAGCAAAATAAGAAATTTTATGATTTTGCTAGCCCAAACAAGTAGGGCAAGTGGAAAATGATGATTGTGTGGAGGCTTCCATTAGCCATTGAAATATTTAAATCACCTTATGATAAATGGTAAAAAGTGAAAACTGTTTGAAGCACCCTACATGTACATTTTTTCTCCATCACTGCACCTGTTTTCATTTAATTGAGTCAATACAATAAATAATGAAAACTTCTCTCTTTTTTTTAATTTATCTACTGTAGAGACTCCCGTAGCAACAGTTCACAGACTGGGTTGTGCAAGACCGAACTGTGGTGATGCAATCATAACAAACTGCTTCAACGTTAATCATGCAAATCCAGAAATTCGTATTCAACGATGACCACTTGGGGAACACACGCATGCCCCTGATGAT